ATCTCCCTTTGGCAATCTATTTGAAGACTCATATGCTCTTTATGTTTCAATTTTGGTATGGATATGTAGAGTACTTCCGGTTTTATAAGTACCTTAAAATTGCCTATGGAGATTTCCATGTTAAATTTGAAATCATACAATGTCCATTATTTTCAAAGGGAAGCAAGGAAGTCTCATAATATTTCACATGAAAAACTACTTTAGCATTGTCTTTCAGTGCTTAGGTCATGAAAATAAAATTTCTTAAAATAAAAGGGATTTTAGGGGTCAGTGCAGAAAACAGTTTTTTGTTTATTACTTTTTTATTTGTCCATAGATCTTCAAACTGATTTCGGTTTTGAGTTAAGCGTAACAAGGGCAATTTAAAAATAATAGTCCGTGGGGTCATTTTTTGAACCCTTATGGGTGTTTTAGAGACCTGAATTTATGTATTTTAAAGTAATTTTAAACATAATGATGCAAGAGTTATCTCTCTTTGTCAACCTATTTGCTGTCTAATATGCTCTCTATGTTTTAATTTTGATATGCATATAAAGAGTACTTCCGGTTTTATGAGGCCCTTAAAATTCTCTATGGAGATTTCTATGTTGAATATGAAATCATAGAATGTCTCATATATCAAAAAGGAAGCAAGCGATTCTCGTGGTATTTAACATGAATAATGACTCAGTCATTGTCTCCAGTTGGTAATGTCAGGGAAAGAAAAATCCCTTAAATAGAAGGGACTTTAGGGTTCAATTCAGAAAACAGCCTCTTCTCCATACCTTTTTTTTAAGCATTCTTTATACTTATTTAAGTTTTGCATTAAGCATAAAGAGTGCAGTTTAAAAAATATTACCCGTGGGGTCACTTTTTGACCCCTTATATGAGTTTTAGTGAATTGAAAAAAAAAACATTTTCATAAGTTTTAAATATTGATGAAAGGGTTATTTCTCTTTGAGTAGAAAATGATGGACAAAAAAAATCGTTATGTTTTCAGTTCAATATTTGTGTTAAAAGAACTTTTGTGAAATTGAACCTTATGAGTTTTATATCATGTAAGTTTTTAAAGCTGTTGATTTTTAGGCGTCGAAAAGCCCTCTGTTTTTGTTGAACGACAAAAATAAGCTCTAGTTATTATTATTATTATTTTGCATATAAACTCCCATACGTAGCCTCAACTCACCGCAAAATGTTCCAACCGATTAACCGGTTAACTATATAAAATTACGCATCTTCTTGATACTGACGTATCACAGGCCGGGTTAATCATTTGAAATGTTCATCCTTCCATTTTTGTAAAAATACTACCAATTGAACACGTTTGTCCTTTGTACATGTAGGCAATTTCCAGCAGCATCGTGAAACATTGTAGTCAATTTTTAGACATTTTCCTGTATAAAACTTAGCTGCTCGGTACTCTATGAGTTCCTTACGTTCACAATCTTTGCATTGGTTTTATTTGTTGATCATAAATAAATTGCTATAAAACGGCCATTTACCCTACATTTCAATTCAAGATTTCGCCAAGTGACATTTCTCATGAATACAGTAGCGACAGGTATAATATCATATAATTATCTTTTTGCGCTACAACTGGGTAATTTCTAAATACGTTAAAAAATCTATGTAATGCAAACATGCAAAAAAGTACCTTGCTCCTTGAAGCATGTTTTATCAATATAACATAGCTGTGTATTTTTTAAGATCAGCGGAAAACACGAATTCAAAATTTTGTATATCTATTGGTCCGTATTTCAAAGTAGGTAAAGTATTTATGTGGAAAGTTTATCCGGTTTCATGGAATATTCTAAACTCACGTTGATTCATCTATGTGTTGTGACACAATTATTCCATAAAATATGAAATTTTTGCTTGATTGTGAACGTTCTGTGAAATTATATCGTAAATTTTACAAGGAGTGTCCGAAACAAATAAGGCTTTGAAAATGACATCAAAAAGGGGAGGGTTTCCTTTGCCAATATTCTATAATTTTTTGTCCCTCAAAAACCTTGTATAGACCTAAGAAATGTTTAAATTTGCTTCAGAGAAATACTATGCATCCAGAATACTTGTTTTTTAGGATTCGAGGGTGACATACCAAAATATTTGCCCCGAGGTGACAGGAGAACCCTGGAGTTTATGTCACCCGATGCTGGACATATTTGTCACCGAAGGGCAAATATTCTGGTATATTTGCCAGAGAAGCCATTTTGTGTATGTTATATGACAATTAAAAAAAAATAATAAAATCATTTAAAATCGTTAAAATGCACACAAATAATCCAAAAATGCTTTCTCGACGTTAAGAATTATGATCCATTGTTAACATTTGCTTAGCAACCGACGTCATAAAATGACAAACCCGAGTTAAAATGCGTAACGTAAAAAAACGTGTACGTGATCGAATGGGTGACATAACTTCTTCCGTCGGGTGACTTCACTGTTTCCGGTGTATGACATAACTGTTTCCGGTGTAATTCAGCAATTTTCAGGGTTTAAAGCTAAACTTATTTCATTTGTGACATAATAGGAAAACTTATGTAAAAATATTTTAAAATACATTGTCTCTGGTCAATTTTATTGATTGCATGTTTGTTTATTGTTTGTCATTTATTTTGCTTGTTCTGAATAAATGACCATTCCTATTCCTTTGCCTATGTGTTACTGTTATGTTTTCTAGGAGTTTGTCAAACAACATAAAATCACTATAAGGTCTTCCTTGAAAACACAAGACTATAATTTTAATAAGATAATAAAAAAGGAAGCATAAAATAATAGAAGGGTCTTCCACTGAAGACGGAATCTCTAATAAGACGTAACAGAGCTAAACATCATGTTAAAAAACTCCGGAGTAAAAATATGCAGTGAGACATGCTTATTTAGACCGTATACTCGTACTACATAAATTTCATAATTTAAATCTTACTTACCTTTATAGCAAACAACGCAAATAACTATCAAACATACGAAGAAGAGCGACAGTCTACAAAAATAAAGATAGTTGCGATAATTATATGTTAGATCTCTATAATGTTTTATGGTTTTATGTTTTCTAGAAATATATATGGCTACAATTCGATTGCATCTCCATAATGGTGCAAATTGTTAATTTACCAGAATTTTCGACTGCAGAAAAAAATAGTTCGTCTTTGTATTAAACTTAATTCTAATTAACTCTAATAATACGATTTTTTCATTCATTGTAAACACCATCGCTGTTTAGCTTTATATGTTAACGTACGGAAAAGTTATTCTGCATGTTTACCGGTTCTTCTCTACAGCAATCATAGCAGTTTTCGCGTTATATACTGAAAACTGCGCTGGAGTGATTTATCGATTGTATGTTGTTTTTCTTTATATCATTTTCTTTTCTTTAAGAACAAATGATACAAACAAATTTTATCTTTGGAGGAGACTTAATATCATGTCACAAGTTTAGAAAAGTGGATAATTCTTAGAAAGTTTTCTAATAAGAAGCGGAAAATGGAATGAACTTGTAAAATATAACTAATATTTCAATAAAAAACAAATATTGACAAATCACACTCAGTAAAGGTTTACAGGTGAAAACAAATTTCAGAACATGTTAGCTTGGTTATAAAAATGTAATATAAACTTTAGAAATAGATACCGAGCCTGGTTATTATGTTCCCCAAACGAAGTTGGTGAACATATTGTTTTTACTCTGTTTCTTATTATTAAGGTCTTCCGTCTTCAGCGGAAGACCTTCTTGTTATTCTTAGGTTTCTTTTTCACTTTTATTAAGGTCTTCCGTCTTCAGAGGAAGACCTTCTTGTTATTCTTAGGTTTCTTTTTCACTTTTATTATTATTGTTTTTTTTTCTTACCGATTTTGTGCACGCGATTTCTCGAAAACGGCTCGATGGATTTCCATGAAACTTTCAGGACTTATGTTACATCACTTGAACCTTATGCGTTTTTTTCCGTTTTGATGACGTCACTTCCGGTCCGGAGTTATCGTCACTAAAATGGCTTTTTGAGGGTCGTTTTGTCCGCACGATTTCTCCTAAACGGCTTTTGATAGACACATGATACTTTCAGGTCTGGTAGATCTATGTCTGTAAATTTGCGGAATTATTTCATTTTTATCGGAAGTGCCGCACGTCGGCGCTCGCTATGGCCCGAAAAAAGTCCTATCGCGAATTTCAAAATTTTTGACACCTTTTCTACGATATCTTTTTACCTGGAAATATTTTGTTAAAATATATTGAACAAAAGAATTGTAGAATCCCAAGATCTTTCAAATGATATCTCGAAAAAAGGGCTGGCCCCTAAAATTAAGGGCCCAGAGGGGCCGAAAGATTTTCTTTATATCTCAAAAAGTATTGAGAATTTGTAATACATCAAAGAAGCAAAAATGTTTAAAATGTCAAGCTTAATCTATTGGCGTCGTCAAAAAACGTCCGGCGTCGTCACTTCCGGTCATACCGGAAGTAGTCAAAAAATGCATATTTTTGCCGTTCTTGACAAGTTTTTGGGTAACATCTGTCACTGGGAGCATAAAAATTAATTTTCAAGTCCGTCGTCGTCACTTCCGGTTACACCGGAAGTAGCAAAAAATGGCTTAGTTTTGCAATAATTAACATAGATTAGGAGGGTTAAACCATTTTTGGACTTTATTACTCATTTTTTTTAAAATCAAAGTTACATCCGGTCAAATAGGACGGAAGACCTACTCGTTGCTTTGCAACGAGCTCGGCTCTAGTTATTATTATTTTTCTTCTTCCTGGGTACTTATTTGTCCGGGAGTGATCTTGTAAACTACACATCCGACTTAGGTAAAACCTTTTTAGGGTTAGTAGGCATGTTTTAAGGATTTGCGGAACGAAGGTCATTTTGCGCACACGTGCTTGCAAGAGCGTGCACGTGCAACATGTGAAATGACCGATTTAATCGATATCGGCGTAACATTTTACCTTTTTGATGAAATGCTTTGAAACTCATAATATAAGGATATATCAGTAGCATAGACAATATGACATGGTCAAAATCGCAAGATCCCCCGCGCATGCACGTGCACTTCGCTCTAATTGGCTGAAACTAAAGTCTCTATATCTTTCTTGTTTTTTGACGAAATCCCTTGAAATTTTTAATATAGCCATACATTAGGATATCCTACAACATACTATATAGCAGTTAAAATGAAAACACGTGCATGCACGTGCGCTGCAATCTGATTGGCTTAAACTTTAAATAGCTATAACTCCCTTGATTTTCAACCAAACAAGATGGAATTTGGAACATCGATAGATATAATGGACCTCTACAAGAAGGTATGGTCACCATGCATATGCATACACGTGCATGTACATGTGCTGCAATCTGATTGGCTGAAACTTTATACAGCTATAACTCCGTTGGTTTTCAACCAAACGGGGTGGGATTTTGAATATAGATAGATGTAATGGACTTCTACAAGAAGGTATAGTCACCATCCTCATATATGCACGTGCGTGCACGTGAAATGAGTAAAATAAAAAAAAAACACTTGAATGAGTGTATTTTCAATACTTTTGGATCATATACTTTAATATTTAGTATATTAAAATATATAGATTCTGTAGACAATATGATATGGTCATAACGCACCTTCATTCACATGCACACGCGTGCAATGCTAAAATTTGAATGAACTTGGTACACTTCTGGGTAAACGTTGTTAAAGTCTCAAATGCATAGAGTTTGTCATATTTAATGAAGTTTACAGGGGATATGGCACCAAAAGGGAGTTGGGGAGCGTTTGGGGAACATCTGTAACGGTCCCCGTTACAATTAGCACTAGTTTTTATTAAGAAAAGCAAATAGCATAAATCACCCAATATTATATGGACTGATTTTTACAGTTTTGCATGTCCTCATAAAATTCACCTGGCTTGGTATATTTTTCTAAGGTTTAAATTACACTTTTAACACCAAGTTATCATATTCAGAAATTTATTCTCATCTGTAAACCTTTACTGAGTGTGTTTTATCCATTTTTATAATTTTATTGAAATATTAGTAATATTTTCCAAATTTTTTTCATTTTCCAATTCTTAGGAGAAAAAATTCTATGAATTATCCACTTTTCTAAACTTGTGACATGATATTAAATCTCCTCCAGAGTTAAAATTTGTTTGTAACATCTGTCCCTAATTTAATAATTTCGTTTCTCTTTATTTAATAATTTCGTTTCTCTTTATTTAATAATTTGGTTTTTCTTTTTTTTTTTTAATTAATTCTGTTTTTCTTTATGTATTAATTAAGTTTTCCTTTTTTAAATACTTTAGTTTTTCTTTATAATTATATTAATTTCGTATTTCTTTATTTTATAATTTCGTTTCCATTTATTTTATAATTTTGTTTTTCTTTATATATTACATGTAATATCGTTTCTCTTTATATATAATTTTCGTTTTTCTTTATTTAATAATCTCGTTTTTCTTTGTTTATTAATTTCGTTTTCCTTTCTTCATTTTTGGTTTGCACTATTGGACTTCCGTACCAGGGGCCACATCGCTCACCTGAGAAACTGGCTAAGAAAAAGTAAAAATTCATGATTGAAAAAATTAATCAAATGTAAAAATTTGTTTTGGGGAGGTCGGGGAGGTAATGGATTTTGACAAACTCAAATCTGTACTTCATAATTCCTAAGGATGATTTTGAATCAATATGACAAATAATGGTTTGTTCTTTAATGGCCTGATCCCACCTCTAATGTTTCAGGAGCCCGTGTTTGCTCTGCTTTTATTTTGTATAGTTTTATAGACTTTGAGATTGAATACTGTTCGTTATCTCCATATTCTTCTTCTTTATTAGATTAATTTTTATTGATATAGCCCCTATATTCCTTTGTATAACTATGAACCACTTTGATGACTTATCAATTCTCCTGGCCAAAAAACAATCGCATTACCTTTGCAGTACTTGGGAAGAAGAATTTTAAAGATTTTGTCTATACGAGGGTTGTCCCATAAAATCGTGGACAAAGCGTTTTTCTCGAAAAGTAATGGGCGCACTTAGCTGAAATTTTCAGTAAATGTTTATTCATCATATTTAAGTGAATCATAATGTTTTTGATAATATATATGCAAAAATAAAGATTTTATTCTGCTTGAATGTGCACAAGGTATGGTCCTACGGCGCACGGTAAAAATAGCATGTTTATATTAGAGAAGACATAAGAATTAATTCGTAATAAATGTTTTCAATACATAAGATTAGGATGAAAATTATCCTAATTCCATTCCTTAATCAATTCTGTCGTATTTTTAAAAATTTCAAGGCATTCGGTTAATTTTTGGCAGTTTCTCGAGCAATTGAAATGGGAAAGTAATAAACACAATACACGAAAAATGGCGACTTTTTATGACGTTACGGCGCACCGGAGAGCAGTTCAGATAGATTAGGATGTTGTAATGACGCCTTAAGAGACTTTAAAGGAATACGGAAGAAAGAAAATATGAAAAATATCACCAGATTTTTAGTATATAAAGGAAATGAAAGTTTTCTTAGTGAAGTCTTCGTGGTCGAGTCCCCAGATAGTACAAAACATATGGACAGACTGCCATTTGTAATAGCAAAGGATGCTGGTCACTGTCGACCGTCGATGTGAGATTCTCTTTTAGTTGAATGATGGTGAGAATACTGACTGTAACTTGCTAATAAATATTCAGAAGATTGCATGAGTGTGCCACATTGGTTTCTTAACTGGTTATAGATACTCATATATGTAAATCAATAAAATTTCTAAATTTAAGTGGGGCTTATCCAACTTTTAGTTTAGCAAAGATGAAACGTGACGCTGTTTTAGACACTTTGACGTTATCATCCGTGCGCCGTAGGGCGATACAGTACATAACATAAAATATCACAATTTGTTTACCTATGCATATATCTATTTGAAATTTGCTATGTATATTTATTATTTATCTATTAAAAAGTGGTGAAAATTTCAGAACACAGTGATGATTATTTTTCAAACTAGACAACTTGTCCACGATTTTACGGGACAACCCTCGTATAATCCTACTTCATTACTTAAAACAACACCCAATATTGCCCAACCCTTGTCCTGCGGGTCATGATTTGAAGAAACATGAATCTCCACTTCCAACGTTTGTTCCTTTATAACTAATTGCTGTTCTAGGGAAGATTATTTATATGTATTCCTTTGGTAAATTTTAAAACTCCATTATGGCCCCGTCATACACAAAGGGGTCATGAATTGAGAAACTTTGATACCTCACTGTACCCCTATTATACCCCTGGGGTCATGATTTGAACTTTAACAGATGTCAATAAGTTTTCTCAAAATTATAATTATCTTCCCTTGAAAGATGTCGTGGCCCTTCATATGAATAAACTTGAATCCAAAGGATACTTTTTTGCAAGTTTATGTGATATTGTCCCGGGGTTTTTTTAGAAGAAGATGAAAGAAGTCGGTGCACTTTATGCATAAAATGGTCCTGTAAATATACCAATTAATTGATCAACACTTGATTTTTCTTTTTTTTTTTTTTGATTTTCTATTTGAAGCATTAAAATAAAATAGAGACTTGGTGCTCTCATATCCTATTAAAAAATTCTCCTCAAAGACCAGGTCTTGGAGAACTAGCTTTATGAAATTGCAATGTTCTTGAATTTTTAGGTAAACAGGTATAATTGAGCACTTTCAGTGAAGAAAGATAATATGAGCGCACCCTCTGATGTAAAAAATAAAATATATGCATGAATTCTCAGAAACAGTTCTATCATTTACTAGTTGCATATTTTAGATCAGAGTTTGCGCTCTATATAGAATATCGAAAAATAACTTTAAAAATTGGCCGTTTTGTAGACTTCTTCGGAATATATGAAAATTGACGCATTTCTTGACGTCATAATGCATTGACTAGCCAGAAATTGACGTCATTTTTTCTAAGATCGTAGTCACTAAATATCTAAGTGGTATTTTAAAGCATTGTTAACTAAAACTATGCAGTTTCAGTTTTTCAGAAGTTCACAGGGCCAAATAAGGCAAAAGTGAACCTTATTTTTTAAAAAGTTTTCGACGACGATGGCAACGAAGACGACGACGACGAACAACGGACATATTCTGATCATAAAAGCTCACTTTAGCCTTCGGCTCATGTGAGCTTAAAATTAGAGTGAAATAAATAAATTATGGTCATAGTGTCCGGCAATAAATATTTAAAAAAAACGAAAGGAAAAAAAAAAACACAAGTTGTAAAACTTAGCACTTTCAACTTGATTCTTTAGACGTTTTACTCTGTATGAACAGTAAACTGTTGACGTTGAAATATTATGGTTATGAGGATGCAAACAATGCAGTGACGTCACAATAAATTTGGGAAACAGTTATTAATATTTTTATATTGAATTCAAACTGTATTTCACCAACAAAACATAATCATCCTTACCTACCATTTGTTGCAAAGTTCGGACTTTATAAAACTAGTTGATTAATATGTCTATACGGTGATCTTCATGATTTTTTCTGTCCATTAAGACAAAATAATAATCTAGTAAGACGTCAAATGCAGATGGAAATATTTATACATGTACATATCTTTAGACCTTGCCTTGAATCAAAAGGTGAAATAATTCGAGCTACATTTATTCTTCATTCCATGGGGAAATTAAGGGAAGAAACGATTTTATCAGCATTGATCAGCTATTGTCAACATTTCTATGCGTGTTTTTTTATATACGAGGGTCATTCAAAAAGTTTGTAGACTTTTGTCCTAGCTTTATTATTTAACGTCATATTGTATCTAAATTTGGTACAAATATTTTAACAACAGATTCAAATAATCTGAGTAAAAAAAATGGAATGTATCTTCATATTTATTAAAATTTCTAAGGATTTAGAACAGCAAAAACGGGGTCACGGAGCACAGTCAAAATTGAGTTATATACTCATTTTCACTTTACAGTATCTATAGCCATACGTCTAATAAATGAAGCTGAAACGAAATAAAATTTACAAGTTTAAATAAAGCATTGCTGTATTAATTAAAATGGAATCAGGTTATGTAATATGTTGCTCCATTTAAAAGATTTCAGTTTCTAAATACATTTGAACTTGTTAAAAAAGGCAAAAAAGCATGACGTTGGAGGACGTCACGGAGCAACAAGTATCAATAAAATTTAACATTACATTCGGGAAACCTCTTCTAGAAGCTTAAAAAATCCGTATAAACCAGGATCTGTATGAAAAATAATCCGTGTATTTGTATTAAATGGAAAATACAGTTTTTGAGTTGTAGCAAGTTTGAATCGGAAGATGGATTGTCTGCAAAGAAACAGGTTAAGGTTAAAATATTGTCGAAAGAGTTAGGAACGTCATAGAACGTGATGTGTGCTTCACTGTTGCAGAATTAATCAAGTTACATGGTAAATTAAAGAATTTGAAAACAATGACATTCTTATTCAAGCTATATTTGTACAATTGTTCGCTAACTAGGTGTTAAGTGTTATGGATATGTTTTTTAGAATGGAGAAGACGCTACAAACCTTGTCTGAAATTGAGAAAATTAGTATAATTTTGACAAACTTTCTCAACGTTGTCTTTGACGTTACAATGTTGATTAACCGTGCTCCGTGGTAACAAAACTTGTTGGTTTAAATTTTGGCTAACATGAGTCTTATTTAATCAAATGGAATTAAATTTCACACTTCGACAAAATAAATGTTTATGTTTACGAAAATGTGTTGATCTTTAATCTTGTAATAATAAAATAACGATGAGAAGCATTGTCTACGTATTTTTTGAATGACCCTCGTATAAAGGGTCCAAATTGAAATTATTTCGTCTTAATGCAAACAAGATATTGATTAAAAATAAACCTACCCAATTACTACTCCTGTGATGGCATTAAACGAACTCTCTTTAGGAATTGGCATATAATCAGTGTTGTTGGACTTTATCAGTCTGAAGCACTGTTGATCTTAAAAACCAGGTAAAAAAGTAAGACATTAAAATATATTTTAAAGTAAAGTTAAAAGTAAGAAGGCAGGGTCTATTTTGTACGGGAAATGTTTACTATGACGTCACACATAATATAAGGTCTTCAAATGAAAATTAAATATTTTGCAATTTCAAACAGTTAGATAGCTGTATAGTTCATACAAACTTACTACTGCGTGCAGTTTTGTCGTTTGTTAAACATATACATGTACCACACAACAGTATATAAACGATACAACGATCGCAATACACATGTCAATGTGAGTGTCATCTCACAAAAATGACGCAGTTTGTAGACAGTGAGAGGTTGATCAAGTCACATTTTGTACAATGAAAAATGTCTTTTGTTCTCAAATAAAATATTATTTGCAATTGAATAAAAGGCTGTTAACTTGTATGCGATGTCTACTATAGTATTTTATTCATAAATTGTCCGTACATTCTCCAGACAAGTGATATTGTCGTATGCTTTTGTTTGCAGATTCACTGAAAAGGTAATAGAAGGGCCTTAATAAATCGGTTTATTGCAAGGGCATACCCTCAATGTACATGTATCTTTTCAAGTTTTTACACATCAATTCAATAATCATTAAGATGTATGAAAAGTTCTGCGAACCTCATGAAATTTTGCAAATGAATTAATTATAGTTATATTTCACGTAGTTGACCACCAAAATAGTCAACCTGCCGTCCGACAAATTAAATTTTAGCCATTAAAAAAGGAAATCTATATAGATTCGCAGCACTTTTCATAAACTTCATATAGTGTTTAAAAGGATTATGAATTAAACTAAGATTTTTTAAATTTGGTTTTGCCATTGCAATTTTGGAATTTATCGATGACCTCTAACCTTTAAGTATAATTTCTTAAATCATTTGACGTCAACATCACGTGACAAGTCTAAATAAAACATCAAGATGTCCCCAACATGTAGATTTTAACCATGTTAGATATGTTTGGATATCAGTGAAGTCCTAAAAAGAATCGCCCATCCTAATAAAGCATGCATTTTTTATCTTAAAAAATCGCCGATATTTCTACTTGTAAACTTAACTGTGCTGCTTTAGAGTAACTATAAAATATTCAATATAAATTAAGTTAAAAGGCTTGTCATTTATATGTAGGGGAAATACTATTCTATAGTTTTTTTTTAATTCTGTACTTATTCAAACAACGGTCAAACAACAATAGGAAGTGTTTGAATTGATATACTAATAATACTTTTCAATATTATTCTATATAATTTATAAATATTTCTTACGTAGGAACCTACAGACTTTTGGTTTAGAAAAAAAAACATCATTGATATTTTAACATTCGGTGTTATATTTCCAAGATTTAATGTCTTTACATGTGTGCATGTGCATTGCATATTGTTTCCCCTAACTTAAACCAACTATTATCCTGGCACTAGTGTTAGGATTTTCACTTTTAAAATAGATAAAGACAACTTCATTTGACAAACCGATCTAATAAAGACTATTTATTATATTTCTGTTAAAATGTTTCCTATATGAAGTTTAAAAGGTAAAATAACTATCTTTTATAGTTCATGGATAACAAAGCTATACACCGGGGTATAGTTTTTGCTATCCATGGTTTAATCTACAAAAATTGAATATATTTTTATTCAAAAAAGTTTAAATTTACCAGTTATTGCCAAAAATGTATTGGTTGCAATATCATTTATATCATTGCATTTATTATATACCTAATGTGTATCACCCAATTTTATTGTTGAATTTACGCTATCACGTGACGTCGTGATCCGATTTTCCGGATCACCAACATGTTGTTTTCTGAATCCATATCACCACTCTCTGAAACTGATGACGTAGTACGCAGAAATATGACGTTATTTTTCTTGCGCGTTAAAAAGTCCCTTGTTATTATGCTTTGTTTTCTGGATAAATGTTATGCAATTGATCTCTTAAGTTTTCTTTTGCTATATTTTGCTAGTATGAGGGCCTATATGATAAATAAATTCATCATTATAACAGTAACTTGATCCGAAGGGTCGTATCACGTCTCGTTGACAGGCGCGGATCATCAGACCAAGCTCGACGCTTCGCGTCTCGTTAGATCTGATGATCCGCGCCTGTCAACTCGACGTGATACGACCCTTCGGATCAAGTTACTGTCATAATAATATATATATATATCAGAGGTAAATAAACTGATGAAGCATATGTTGACATAAACATCGTACATTTTTTGTAAACAGTATCAAAATATTATGTAAAAACTTATTCAAATGCATACTTTTGATGCTGAAAATTCCTAAATACTTGCTACTTATAAGATAATTTTGATTTGTGAAGGTAAACTATTTTACACTAGAAGTAATGCCAGAATGAAGCTACCAGAGCAGGAATTATTGCCCCTGACAACATTTTTAAAGATTGAATAATTGATTAAATTGATCAAATTAAGGAAAAATGCATTTTATTTCTTTTTACTTAACAATATTTATCATTAAACCCATGGAAATGATTCTTCCAAATATGTTGTTCTATTGGGTATGAATAAAATTCAATAACAGTTTTTGCAAAAACCTATGACATCATAAGAGGGTGGGATTACCTTAAATAATGTATTATTGAAGGGGTTATAAGAAAGCATACAGAATATTCTACCTTGAATAAATCAGTGATACATTATGACGTCATAGTACAATGTAGGCGTGATGACGTCAATTTTAGAGACAATTTTTCGTAGTATTGGTATTTAGAGATGTAATTAAAGTATAGAAAATGAGTAGAAACATTTAAAAAAAATAAAATGTATTTATTATAATCTATCTGTCATTTTGATTAAAATTAACCTGAGTGACGTCATATGTGTACATCAAGTAACTTCGGATTGATCATGTCGTGTAAAGAGAATTTGGCTTAGACAGCATGTACAAAAATGCGTAAAATAAAGTTTAAAGGTAAATATCTTGAATATTATGTGAAATTCAGCTATGTGACAGTCAGCTATATACGTATCCCGGTCAGTCTTTCCTCTGTTATTCGTTACAAAAATAATACAACAGAACAACAATAAGCTGGATATTTCAAAACCTAAGATTTGAAGAGATAGAAAGTTTGCCTTCTAAAATACTTGGAGAGTCCTGCTAGAATCCAGAGTTAAATTAGTTTTACGAAAAATCTTGGTTTATATGTATAAAAAAACAAAACATCGGGTAAGGTTTCGTGCAACAGTGTAAAATAAATCTATTTCACTGACAGAAAGTGGGATCCTAGCAGCACTTTTTAGGCGAAATAGATGTTTTTCAACTACATTATTATTTCAAAGAAATTATTAAACTCCGGGGTAGTGTTGTTTTGTAACATTTTTTTTTTACTAAGGAATATTTCGCTATTTATAGAAGTCATGTGCTGCCGTTGTGATAGTGCACGTCTTTGCGTTAAAAAATCTCTTATCTTTATGCAATATTTATTAATAGTTTACGGTTATCAGCGGTTTTGGTAAATTATCAAACTTAATTTTCTTTAAAAAGTCTAATTTACTAAAAAAAGATTTATATGCTTAACATACCCGCACGCTTTATATATAGTTCACGCCCTCTAATATGCAAGCAATCTTTGATCCATTTTACTTGTTGCAAGTAAACCTAAAAGTGTTTTCAGTACTTGGCAACCAAAAACGTAATATCTAAAACAATCAATATCTCTAAGTAAAAAATTTAATGCTATAGCTGCTTCAATACATGTTTGACACATGAAATAAGAACAATTTAAAAAAAATCAGCTGATGGCCCTTCGTCCCATTTAATGCGATGTCTTTTTGATAATCAAATTCAAAATTATGCCAAACGTTCAGGTAGCCTAGCTAATAGTAGAGCGTTCGCTTTGTGATCGGGAGGCCCGTTTTCGATTCTCGTTCGCGGCGTCGCGTCAAACCTAAAACGTAAAAACAGATAGTTAAAGTACCGTCGCCAAGCGCTAGGTATCAGAAGTGAAAGTCACGGGTCTTTCGGATATGACCTTGAAAACGTAGGTCCCGTGTCACGGTAGGCGCTGGCTCGATAAAGAACCCTCACTGCTCAATGACCTGAGTACCAAGTATAGGTCTGAATTTGAATACCTTTACCGGCATACGGTGACTTCTCCATATGAGTAAAAAAATCTTGAGAGGGACGTGAAAACAATATACAATCAATCAATTAAAATTATGTAAGAGTGAGCATCTAGTTAGGTAATACATCCATAAACGGGTTTGCATTAAAACGCATGAGCTAGGCAAAGTAAATCGATCGATTGCAAGGGTATATCCTTAATGTTTCATGGCTAGAATTAAAATATTAAATACAGTAAAACATGCTTATAACAACCTTTTCATTATGATGGGTATTCTCAATTGAAAAACAATTGTGAAAGTTAAAAGTAGGCCAATGTTTATTTTTTTGATACATTGTAAGTACGGAAATCTTCAAGTTCAAGTTCAAAGGTCAAAGAAATTGGTATTCAATGAAAGGTCTTGCCACAAAGAATATATAAGTGAAGTATTGAAGACCTTGCCCTAACACTTCAAAAATTATGGTCAGGGTTAAAAATTTTTTAAGGTAGGTCAAACTCCAAGTCCAATGTCAAAATTAATGATATCAAATGAAAGGTCTTGCCAAAAGGATTTAATATGACTAAATTGAAAGCAATAGCCTTACTCCACAAAATTTATGGTCAAGATTTGTTTTTATGTAGGTCAAACTCCAAGGTCAGTCTGAAAAGGTCAAAGTTTTCGATATCCAATGAAAGTTCTTTATAAAGGATTTCACATGTGGAGGATGAAAGAACTAGCCTTTGCTGATCAAAAATTTAGGTTATGGGTAATATTTTTTTAATAAGTACGGAAATCTATATTGTACCGGTAAAACGGTGAAGGGTATAAATATCCTGGTTTCTAATGTTCAAAAGATATGGCCAAAGTAAAAGTTTGGAATTCATGTGTAAAATTTGATCAAATTTCAAGGTCAAGACGAAAAGGTCAGATTTGGTGGTATCAAAAGAAAGTTCTTGTCACAAGAAATACACATGTGAAACATGAAAGTCATAGCTCCACTATATCAAAATTTATGGGCAAGGTTAACGTTTTTGCGGATAGACAGACAGACAGAATGACAGACGGACAAAAACTATATACCCCCGAAACTTTGTTTACGGGCGCATAAAAGATACATAACATCTCAGATTAATCTCTTGAAGTAAAGTTACATTTCCTGTAGTGCAATAATTGTTCAGGGAAAAAAAGTTTTGTCTTGATTTTTTTATTTCATCCTTTAAAGTAACATTTAAAAATAAAATAAAATAAAATAAACTTTTTGCAAGAATCAATTCAATTAAGTAGAAAAACTTTAAAAACACATGATTTACGGGTTCTCAAATAAATATAAGGACAGCCTACAGACATCAATTGACGTCATCTACCGGGGATAGTCTAAAAGCCTAAACAACGATATTTGACATTATAGCCTGTAGGTACTGAAATAGAGTGAAACAATTCTTACATTTATAAATATCAGTTGAGATGTATGGAACCGGACATGGTGTAGAAAAATTGGTACAAGGTGCATAATAATTGTCCTGAATGACTTCTCCATCCTCATTGTATTCAACACAGTAGCCTGTGAAAACAAGTTGCAATTTTAATTATATCTTTTTACTATCATTTATATATATATATATATATATATATATATGTATGTATATTCATGAAAACTACTTTATTTTTATCGATTTCTGGCGATATAACTTGAATTCACTGTTAACCTGTGCTCCTCCAAATCGGGGCGCAAACTTCAACTGTAGCATTGGAAAATGCATTTCGAACACAGTGGTACTTAAACTCACTGCTTGGAACGCATGTCTGTGAAATCAAGGAACAATTCTTTGACATGGCTGCATTTGTCCACTCTTCTAAAGATGCTGGGCATTTTTCAACTTTTATCTTTGTCATTCGTGAAAAACTGCAATTCCTACAGAAGGTCTTCAATGAAATTACTATTAATGTACAATCGAATTTTCTGAAAAATTAAATTGCTTCTTTTATCATTTGTGTGATACCAATAAATTATTAGTGTAATTATTAAGCACATTATATGATCACCCGGCATTGTCGCCATTTAGTTTCATGCCTTCAACAACGTATCTGTTTCTCAGTTCCTGCAAACTTATGTCACACACTTATGAGGATATTTCCTGGCATTATATATATATATATATTAATCTGATTTGCTTATATGAATTTAGAATTTTAATGCATATTTTTATAAATGGATCTATATAAAGTGAATGAATCGCACTTGTTTATAACAGTATTATTTACTTTTCAGAGTTTATTATCCATAATACGCATAATTTTCATCATTTTTCTAAACTGTTTTTACACTTATTCAAATCAATATTTACTTGGCATCTTTATTTTCTTTGTAATATTAGTCTGAATTTTAAACAATTACTCTGTATGAGTGCTTAACTCTGTTTGAACATTTCCTTGATGAATCACATTTTTTTCAGGATTCAAACTTAGAATGTTTGGAAAGGAAACTCCCCTCCCCGGTTTTGAGACCATTTCAGTATCTTTATTGCTTGCATATTTTATGTTCACGATAAAAATCCTTAGAACTCTGAAAATAAGATAGGGAACAATTGTGTACAATTTCACATTGGTGAAATAAAGGGATTTTTTGGATGACAAATGCTTCTATCAAAAATGAGTTTTTCTTTGTTACACACACCATCTTCAAGGTTGGACATACCATTGCTTACAAAAACATCAACAATTTATTTTAAATATATATATATATTATTTATAGTTTATCATACACATTGTAAGTTTAGATAGAAAGAATTATGCTATCTTTTTTGAAAAATCATAGATATACTTAAATTGTTATGTTTCATGGAGCTAGTCCAGAAAATCGTTTATAATAACGGGGCAACGATAATTTTGTATTGCTCTTTTGCATGCTTCAAAAAACCCTAAATTCTTTTTAAAAAAAGAAAAATAGTAGTTAAACATTTCAGAAACTCTGCTAGCACTTCTTTTAAAGAAAAAAACATTCAAGTGTACGTTGTTTGAAGGGCGACGTCGATGAAAAAAAACAAAAAAAAAACCATCGCCATTACAGTAAAAGCAGGTTTTTTAATTGCCTAAATATTGGGCGGTTAGTGCGCTGATCAAGAACTGCTGTGACGTTTTTGCAGGTCGTGAGAGCGGAAGTGATTGTCCCTGTACTACTTTATCTGTCTTAATTAACATTTTTTTATTGTTTTAGGGCCATTGTAAGTTCTTTGTGCTAAAATAATTTTGTATGGATTATTAATCGATAACGATACTTTCAGTTTAGTGATGGTGAGTGCATACAGTGAATTCGTCAAGTGTAGTCTTCGGGTAGCTTTTCAAACGCAATAGTGATGAGTAAATTCTATTTATAACTATTACATGAATTGAAAATATTTGGAGATGCGTACCACAGCACTAACACGAAAATCCTTGACGTTACCCGAGGTCAAAAAGTAAGTACATGTAACTTTCTAAATATAGTCACCGTTTACCTCAAAACAGCTCCTATGTCGCTTAACCAGTCATATAAAATGTACACAAACACTTCAGGCTTCATACGTGAAAACCATATAAAATCTAACACTTCCTTTCTCATATCTTGAAAATCATCATACCTCTTTCCGCGTAAAAACGACTTTATGTACGGAAATACGGCAAAGTCAGGTTACAATTATTCATTTTACAGCACTGCAATCTCGAAATGATGGTCTTTCTTCATGCACATCAACCCGTAAACAGTCCAAAAAATTTATATGTCCCTGTTTTACTAAAGAATGGCGTCCTAATATGATTTTTCCAACTGTTTACTAAATTTGTTACTCTGTTTGGTGTTTCTCCGATGCTTAATTTCATTATTGCTCTCTGATCCATCTTTTTCAAAAACGTTTTTTTTAACAATGCCGAACCATATTTGAACGTATATTTGGAATTGAATATTATTTTACAATTTGTTGTTCACATTTAGTAAAGGATTATAAATATGCTGATAATAAATATCAATAACACAACTTTTATTAAAATTTTAGATTATCCATGAACATTACGGACAACCCTGGTATTTTTTTTTGGTTCGATCAATTTTCAAATTTTTAATTTTTTGAAATCTTCATATAAAATTTAATAAAACTTGCAGAATAAATTCAAAATATAAGGAACAATTTTGCTACACCACACATTTGATTTTGATGATAAGTACTCATATCAAGCGATTTGCTTTAGTTACAGTGAGGTAGAAAAAAGTCAATGGTAGAGTATGGAACTCCATCACTGCCTTATAGCATAAAAATATGCATTCATTATGTCAATCTTTGATAACGTGATGTGAACATATCTACGTTATGTCAATTTTTTATGGGGTGATGTAAAGATATCTTGTCAATGCTGCAGTACATGAAGTAAACCATTCTTCCATTATGTCATTACTTTATATCTTGAAGTCCAAAGTTCTTTATGTGAAGTGAAAATATGTTTACATTGTGTTTAAACTTTATTACGTGAAATGAATGTTTCTTTATATTATTTCATTTCTTATTTATGTGATGTCAAATTGCATTTCGTCAAGTTAATTTCGTTTTACATGTGTTCTATGATTAAATTAATCACTATGTTAAGTCAAAGTCCATTCCCTTTTGTTATTTAGATTATAACAAAGCATTATTACGTGATGTTAATGTATCTTTATTTTACGCCAAGTTCATCACAATGTGAGGTGAAAACATCTTACCTTTATCATGTTTATGTCAGTGCTTTATAACGTGATTTAAAAATGGTTTATAACATAATGTGAACATATATTAGGGTGACAGTCCCGGCGTTCCATATTGTATCAACACTTTATTGCATTATGTCAAAACTCCATGCCTTTATGTGGATACTTAATAAGAATATGTCAACTCTTTCCTATGTTACTTTAAACTACCTTTACATTGTGTTAATTCTTTATGTTGATTTCAAATGTTCATTACGAGCTGTAAAAACATTTTCATTATGTCAAAGTTGATAACCGTGTTTTCACGACTGGGAAAAGAGGGGGTGTTGTCCTGATTAATTGGGACAAATTACATTATATGAGGGAGCGGGGGGTTCTGGCTTCCTCTTTTTTTCCGACATAACTTTATAGAAATTTTCATTGAAATTTCCCCCCACTTTTTGCTGAAGTATATGGGTAATGTAGTATATTTTAGTAGTAGTTAGATCAGCAGTGTTGGACTTTTCTAAATAATTCAAAATTAAAAGAAAAATATTGCTGCATGACACATACTATTTGATTTGCAATAATTATGAGATTAAACGGCCATTTAATTTCGACGTTAAAAAAATCCTCAATAAAGATTCCACGGGAACATGATATTTTTTTATAAATGTTAGCCTGATATTTATTTAAGGATTAATTAAGTCTTGTGTATAATTTAAAATTTGATATGTTTAATTTGAAATATTTGCATGATTAACATATGTTCATGTAATATTGAAAACACAAAACGAACTTTTAGGTATAACCTAAACCTTTCGTCACACAATAAAGAGTTGAAATATTCTAAGATATACTGACAAGAATCTAAGCATTTTAGACACAATGTAAAGATAAAATGGCATAACATAATAATGATTTGTCAAAAAGTTAGGGCAAACTGACATCATGTAATAGGTTCCCAGCGTCATGTAGCATATTGATGACACAATATAGTAAAGAATTGGCCATATGTGACAATTTTTTCACATCATGTAATGAAATTCTGACATCGTGTTATAGCGACTTGATATTGAATTAAAGATAAATTCACATCATGCAGTGAATTACTTAGACCAAATAGTAGAGAGTGCTCATAATGTAATAATTAGTTAAAATAATATAAAAACATCTTTACACCACGTAAAATTGTTTTGACTTAATGTTATAAAGAGCTGATATAATGCAATGGAAGATTGACGCAATGTAATTGAAGTGCGACTTAATGCCATAAAGACTTAACAACATGTATTGGAAAGTTGGCATAACGCAATTGTAGTGTGTGTAAATGTCATAAAGAGTTGACATAATGTAATGGAAAGTTGACTCAATGCAATAATACTGTAAGTAAATGTCACAAAGTGTTGACATAATGTTATGGAAAGTTGACACAATGCAATTGTAGTGTTCTGTTATAAGGCAGTGACGGCGTTCCATAGTAGAGTTTTGAACCGCCTGCACCTACCATTGCTTAAAAAACATCAACAGTCTAAACTTACATAATCTAATAGTTTAACCTATGGATAGAAAGGGTTATGCTTACTTTAATGTGTTACATGTAATAGTCATTGATACTTATGATATTCACGAACATTTTGAAAATTACTCGTATTTATGATTACTTAAATTTCAAAAATACTGCACAAAAAGTAAAATCAATTGTGTTGATCAGAGCATGAACTATACTAACATGTCACCTGTACAGATTTCGTGATCAGTGGCTGTTCCATCATTAAAACGTACTAAGACGTTCTCATCATAAATACAATAATTGATCTTTTTAACCCTACTTTAAACGATTATTTAAACAGATTTAAATATAAACAATAAAGTGCCTTTCTTTGGTTGTTAATACGCTTACTCAGATATGCATTTTTTCTGCAAATGTGGCGACATTCACTACCGCAACAACAACCAAAGAAAGCATTTTATCTTTTAAAACGACGTCAAAATGTAAACAATTGATACGGAAGGATTTGTTATATGTAACTCAGAAAAAAATAAGAACTTTATAAAAATATCTTCGACAGGATAAATACTTTATATAGACCTTTAGAGTGGTAATATTGAAATATATGGGGTCCTTGAGAAAATTAATATTGACCTCTGTTTACGCCTTGCCCATTATGCAACTTTTTAAAGCTCACGCCTCGCCAAATATGCACTTTTTAAAGGACCATCATATTTCCGTATAACCCCTATCTAAGTGTCTACAGTACCGACCGCACACGACCTATCAGAAAGGAAACCCGGAGCGCACCCCGGGTTCGCTCTCTTGGTCCGCTTCGGGTTCGCTCGGGGTCCGCTAGGGCTGACCCCGAGCGAACCTGGAGCGCACCCACAGCGAACCCGAAGCAGACCCCGAGCGAACCCGAAGCGGACCCAGAGAGCGAACCCCAAATTCAGTAGCGATCCCAGAGAGCGAACACGCGTTCGGTATTTCTTTACAAAGCTGTCAATCAGCATTAACGATTAACCAATCAGCGTGTCGACCAATCAAAATGACATATAGATTTTTCGATTGGGATAAAAGATTGAACGTCCTGATTTAATTCGATATATATCGAAACATTGTACATACGTGTAGAAGAAAAAGTGTGAATAAATCTATTATGGTAATTAAAATATTATTTCATATTTATATATTTTTATTCTCCGAGTAGTACATGTATGTTATATTTATAAAAAGCAAGATCCATCTTATGTATAAAATGGCCCTGTACTTATATCAATTAATTAACTGTCACCCTCTTTCCGATTTCAGATATCAAAATAAAGTAGTCACAAGGTGCTTTCATTTTCTGTAATAAAATTTTGTTTTGAGAATCAACATACTGGAAAACAGGCTTTGAGAAATTGCAATGTTCTTGAAATTTGCAGAAAACAGACGTATTTGACTACCTTCAGGAAAGAATTAAATTATGAGCACAGCCCACGATCCAAAAAATAAAACATGTTTTCTGATCTTCGGGAAGAAAGCTTTCATTATGTATTAATTTTGCATATTTTTGATCAGAGGTTGTGCTCTATATGAAATATTGAAAAAAAATGTCTCAACTTTGTCATTTTCAAAGGAATTTACGGGATCTGAGGAAAATGACGCATTTTAAGACGTCATAATGCATTGACCAGATGTGAAATTAAGTGATAAATACTGCATTTGCAACCTAAACTGAGCGGTTTTGATTTTTCAGAAATTATCAGGGCTAAATAAGTCCCAAAGTGGCTCATGCTCTTTATTTCTTTAAGCAATTAATAAATTGTCTTTTATAATTTTCCACGTAGAATGCTACATAAATATTTCCTTATTTATTATCTTTAGTTTTAATTTAATACCAGTATTTTAAGTCATTGGTAAATCAATTGCATCCGTCAATGTGTAAAAAGGGAAATCAATAATTGTTACATATCTATTACAATTTTACTGAAAAAAGAGCAGATAAGAAATATAACTGGTCTTTGACAATTTTTGTAAATTTTCAACATCCTAAGATACTAACAGTACAATAATATGCTCATTATTCAATTATTTTATTTCCGTTATCTCAATTTAAGTGTTCCTTAAATTTCCTCAAAATCACCATCAAAATTGTTAATCTTCTCATTTGGATCTGAAATAATTGAATGTACATCTACATCTTCCTGTATATTATTTGAAAAAAAATAGCTGCAGCAGGCTAATAGAAAACACTTCGAGTACAAGATTGGGAGGACGACTCATAGAAAATTAAGGAAAAGTATCCGCCCTTTATTATAAAAATCAAGTCTACTGATGAAGGTTCACAGTTATTCTCTCTTTCTCTCTCTCTCTCTCTCTCTCTCTCTCTCTCTCTCTCTCTCTCTCTCTCTCTCTCTCTCTCTCTCAGTTTTGATGTTTTCAATATATTTATTTAAGTTTATACAATCATATCATGTTCAATAAGTTTATTTAAAAAAAATCAAATTTTATTATTGGCTTACGCGTTTATATATAAGCATGGAAGAAAAAGTTTTTTTATGCATTTAAAATACAAAATATCCTTTGCCATATACACGTAAATATATGTAGGTAATCGACACGAGATGAACGTCTTCGATGGTGACGTAATACGGAAAATTTCAGGGCGTCATGTGATTAGCCTTTATCCAATAAGCAATCTACAGATTTGTCTGAAGTGGGACAATATTAGTTATCCAGGTTCAATCAATGGTCTACGGGGATTTACCCCGGGTTTTATTCCATACACCCTGAGGCCGTAGGCCGAAGGGTGTATGTAATACAACCCGGGGTAAATCCCTGTACACCTTTGATTGGACCTGGATAACGAATTTATTTCCTTTGTATCCATAAAAATGCTTTGTTAACATCAAAGTGTGTCTCAATCTATCGATTAGATTACTACGTACTAAAATGCATCGTGACGTCATGTTATTTGGTTTTTATCATAGAGAATGTATTCATTGTGACGTCACGTTTTATTTACACCCGTCTCAAGTCGGGTGCACGGATATTTACATCCGACTTTGTTACCAATCAAAACTCGTGTTACAAGCTAGATAGGAAATAATATTAGTTATCCAAGTTCAATCAAGGGTGCACGGTGATTTACCCCGGGTTTTATTTCATTCACCCTGAGGCCGAAGGGTGTATGGAATACATGTACAACCCAGGGTAAATCCCCGTACACCCTTGATTGGACCTGGGTTATGAGTTTTTTACCTATATATGTATCCGTTAAAAATCGTTTGTTAAAACATAAATTCAATTATCTGTGTCTCAAACTTTCGATAAGATTTACTACGTACGACGTTGCATTGTGATGTCATGTCATTTGCTTCGTGTTATAGAAAAACTATGCATTGTGACGTCATGTTTTATTTACCCCCGGCTCAAGTCGGGTGTTCGGAAATTTACAACTGACTTTGTAACCAATCAAAGTTCGTGTTACAAGCTACACAGGAAATTAATGTAAATACAGATAATTCAGATAATCGACACGAGATGAACGTTCTAGTACACTGATGTCCTTAATGCAGGATTTCGCTTTCGTTCGCAATGTCCGTGTATTGAAGGGAGGAGTCGCAAAACGCCATCAAAAATCTGTTTTGTAACTTTTCTTTATGTTCAAATATGCTTTTTTTGTATTTTTTGTTGACAGGTTCTGTTAGTCAAGAGTTAAACCCTTTTTAAGGTTGAAAGCAAGCAACCTCGTACATGTTTATTGAATGTCTTTACACATTCTACATTAAGGGGAACTAAGCAACTAGGGTAGGGCAACGGAAACTAAAACAAGTTATTAATGATTAAGGTCATACGCTACGTAGTTTGTACATTATTGGGTTCTTCTCTGGGGTTGAAAAGTTCCAATATAAGAAGGACCTGTGGGCAATACTTTAAATGTTTCATATAGATTTATTTACCTCTTCTAACACAATTTTGATGAGAAAAAAAATCTGAAATTTTTGTTTTGTAATTTTTGTGTATTTACTTTTGAATAATGCAAAAAATTTCATAATTTGATATCTTCCAAAAAAAAACCTGGTAATGCATGCTGAATTTTTGTCTATGAACATCTGATCGCACTATAATCCTAAATTAAGAATATCTTGAAAAGTTATCAGTAGGTAAGGTACGTTGCGTATGTCCTTAAACAGCAAGTCGTAGTAGACTTTGCAAATATTTTGTGCAAAAGTAAAATAATTATGTAAAAATATAAATTAATGACATATATGTCGCCAATTAATCAAAAACTAATATCTATAGCATCTTTTTATTGTCGCATAAATGGCGTGATATGAAGAAAAAAAAAACAATTCTTAATTTACCTGTAATATTTCAGAATTGACGACGAAAAGCAATATGTGCAAGTTAATTTTCGCCATCATCGCAGGAACCTGAAACATGTTAAATGTTTTCTTAAATCTTTCCAATTATTGAAACAGTAGAAAAATACAAGCTAGTGAAAATGTAATTGAAAGAACGAAACAATTTCGTAAATCACCCTTTGATTAAATGATATACAATTTGAATTGTTTACAATACACTAAAGGGTATTTACAGTGCATGAGGTAAAATATTTGGTTTTATGGTACAGTGTAAATATAGGTGACTAAATGTGTTTATTTTATCTCATGTCATGTACAGTGTACGAGGAACAAATACTATATATCAAAGTAAAGAACAGGGTTCTCCATGAGATGTTTTACTGTGTTTCTTCCCAACACAGTAAAATTTTTCTCCGACACAGTAACGATTCAAATTTTATGCATGCGACAAAGTAAAAAAAAAAATTCCGACACAGTAAGATCTGTGATAATCAGAAAATTCTCTCTAACGGAAACTCTAATCAAACAATTCTATCGTATTTCAATTTTAAAAGTTAGAGCACTTAATTACTAGGGCTTCACCTTGCATGATCAATTATCTCCTAGCTCCTCGCTGGATTTTACGCATGACGGAACAAAGACAAATAATTTGTTTTAACTCTTCCATGTAACAGTTAATTAGTAGTTTTGATAAAATACATTGTATTTTAAAAAAAAAACATTTAAATATGTCTTTCCTATAAAGCCACGGCTTTAGAATTATGCTAGCACTGTAAATAAAACATAACATCGCACCGAAGTCATTTAATTGATGTAAATAAATTGCATAAAATTTTCAGCATGTTTAAGGAATTCTTAAAAATATTTTACTGTTATAAAGTTTCTTTCTTTTTGTAATGCGATAACTCGATCAAGAAAACTGATAAATAATCAACGCAAATGTGCTATCAAAAATGTTAATTAAGGAGTTCGACTCTTTCGATCAGAATTTCCTCTGCTTTTCAGAACGTAGTTTTACTTTTATAAATATGTACGCCCATACCATTTGTTTAACAAATTAGCGATTCTTAAATAAGTGTGTGCATGTATTTTTTTGTAATTATAATGAATAATGATTTAGTTGCGAATTTGTTCCCAAAAATACTGCGAAATTTTAGTGCTTCGCGTTAACTCTGCAACACAGTAAAATTTCAAATGATGGAGAACCCTGAAAGAATATTTAAGTTTTAAGAAGTTATCCTATAAAATAATAGAGATTGAACACTTATATTGTCAAAATGACTTCCTAGTACGTCTGTCTTTTTTCCCTAATAATTCCTATCTTGCAATTCAAATAAAATGTTCGATTGATCCTTCAATTTACTAATATAAAGACACTAGTACATGTACGTGTATTTATTGAGAACATACCAATGCTTATTATATAAAAATATTTTTAAAAATGATGATTATATAAACTTTCCTGACCATAATAAAAAAAAACAATGCTAGACAAAAGATTTCATTATATTTCTTTTGTCTTTCAGACTTCTTTTAAGATAAAAGTCAAGAACGGGAAGACTTAAATTCCAGTACACCCCATAGAAGCTTATTTATTTTTTTTTTTATCTCGAATGGAATTTAAAAGGTTTAACAATACATAATTGTGATAGTGACTGGTAACCTGCCAAGATACCTGTGGCAAACATTCCTCACTTAATGCATAGGTAAATAAGGTTTAAAACGAAAGTAGAATCCTGAACCAAATATTTCTTAAATGATATTTTTTATTGTAAACAATTAATAAAACATCTTATGATTATATTTCGTTATTAAATGATTGAATGTACACTCAATTTTAAATGTAAATAAAATACATAACATGGCTTTCACGGGAATATATGATATCAGAATATGTAAGGCAGACTTTATAAGTTCAATAAATAAAAAAAAAGAAAAAAAAAAGAATATGACATGAAAGCAAAGAAAATAAACAAATAATTGTTTTATACTTACATTTTACAATGTCAGCTTTTTATGAGTGAACACAAACCATTAGTCAGGTCTGCATTAATGCTATACAAATATGTGTCAGTACAATTTACTTCCTGGTTTATATTTATGACCACATTCGAAGAAGGGAGTGCATTGTTGCAACCACTATTGAAATAACGACCACTATTAAAATAATTATATCAATAGTGATTGAGAGTGCATTTCAATAGCAAACATAATTAGAATCCACTATTGAAATACGACCACTAGTGAAATAATTATATCAATAGTGGTTGAGAGTGCATTTCACTAAAAAAACATAGATAGTAACCACTTTTGAAATATGACCACTATATTATTTTAATCGTGGGTGAGAGTGCATTTCAATATAATAATAACCATAGGTTTTAACCACTATTGAAATACGAGCACGATTGAAATAATTTTTTGATAGTGGAAAGAGTGTATTTCAATATGATACATGTAACAATAGGTTTCAACCACTATTGAAGTACGTCCAGTATTGAAAGAAGAGTTTCATCGCGTAATTTTTAATTTTTATCCAAAATTTCAAAAATATTTGATTTGGAGTGAAAATATATACCGGTAGATTAATAATCAAAGTGTATAAGGCCACAACAATAAAGGCTTCTGTTCGTCGGACCCTCGCGCTCGAATTCCAAAAAAAAAAATACAAATAATATTAATTTAAAATCCCCGCACCATTGGAATTCTATGCTGTTTTTGTCCCATTTCCGCTCTATCTATCGTACTTTTAATCTACTTACTCTGCAAATCAGAAAAAAATATAATTCTCCGCTCATTTTTTTTCACACCCCACCTTAAAATTTTGCTTAAAATAAAGTAATTATATTATTTTTTTTAACCGCTAGCCCGCTCGTACTTTTTCATCAAATGTCCGACGAACAAGAAATTAAATTGATGTGACCTAAATTAATAAGGATGGTTTTAGTGAGGCAGAATTTTGAACATCAAAGAAGGTTTACACCTTTTTTTATATTCTAGAAATTTATTATTTGCATAAATTTCATCAGTTTCAGTTCAAAAAAATACATACTCATCCAGGCATCCATATTTTGTTTGTATCATCTGTCTTCAAATGAAGATTTATATAGTTATTGGAATAATAATTTTAAAAGTGATTTAAATAAATATACTTTGATAGTTGCTGATAATACTATTTGCTAATAAAACTTAAACCATAATTTAATGCATATTAAAATCTTTATTTCAAAAGTGAACATTATTTCAATAGTGGTTGAAACCTATGTTGGTTATTGTAATACACTTTTAACCACTATTGATTTAATTATTTCAATAGTGGTCGTATTTCAATAGTGTTTACTAACTATGTTTGCTATTGAAATGCACTCTCAACCACTATTGATATAATTATTTCAATAGTGGCTGTATTTCAATGGTGGTTTCAATCTATGTTTGTTATTGTTGAAATCCACTCTCAACCACTATTGATATAATTATTTCAATAGTGGTCGTTATTTCAATAGTGGTTGCAACAGTGCATAATAACTTTGCTTCTGTTTGTAAGTCGGTCATTCGGTTTATCTGTCCACAACCAGTTTCCGTTCATTTTCTTTTATTTTGTATTATTATACTTTAATGAAATTTTGTGTACATCTTTATCAGAAAAATAATCGATTGCATGTTGTTTAGTGTCCCATTTAAAACTTTTTCACGCATAAAGGGTCACCATCTACCTGTTAAGGGCTTCTCATTTTAACATTAACTCGGCACTCAGGGCCTTGAGCAGTGAGGGGTCTTTATCGTGCGAATGCCTGCCGAGACACGGGACTTCGGTTTTTTCGGTCTCATCCGAAGGTTCCGCAAATTTCACTGCAAGTGCCGAGCATATGGTGGAGGAACAATTGCTACCCATTTTTATGGTTTTAGGTCAGTCGGGGCCGAGATTTGAAATACGACCTCCCGATCACGTGGCAAACTCTCTATCGACTGAGCTACCATAAATGGTCGATTTATTTTAAAAATATTCAAGTCGCTTCTGTTTTAGGAACGATTCAGCACATTCTTAAGGTGGGCTTGTTTCTTTTTTTTAGGCAATTATTTACACACTGAATTGTCTACTGATTTTTCTACTTTTTTTCCGAGCGTGACAAAGGGCACAAGACGGGTTGGCAGGGGATGCTCGCTCCTCTACTTCCGGGCATTGATCCCACCTCTGATGTTTTTGAGGTTCGTGTTTGCTCCAATCCTAGTTTGCGATGTTTTATCGGACTTTTAAACTCGAATACGTTAGTTATCTCTTCATTTTCAGGAAACAGTTCGTGATTAAATTGTTCCATTCAAATAAAAGTTCAAAAATTATTGTACCACGAAACAAGAGGAATAAGCTCAGATTTAGGGATCGTACCCACCTCACCGTTTCTAGGGTATTCAGACCTATTAAAAGTCTGTAATAACGCAAAGTATTTTGACTTGAACTTTATCATATCCACAAAAAAAATAAAGAACAATTTCCGTCTCGCATTTAATTTTTTTTCAGAGAAAGTCTCCGAATTACGCCCAGTAAATAAATAAAAATATCCTCGTGTACGTGTCAAAACATTTTGACATGATTGATATCATATAGTCACTTAACTCATGTGACATTCCACTGTTTAATACGCTTTCACAATTCATCGTGTCTGGTAGTTGAACAATCTTTGGTATCTATCGAATTCAACTTAAAAATATTGAAGATTTTTGCGAATTTATTAATATTATTAAAGATTATACATTCTTCTTGTATTGTAATTTTTTTTGTTTGGGAAATATTATGTGAGGAATTCTGGTATTTCAGTGCAATTCAAGTGCACGACAAGAACATGTAGGTATAGTTTTCTCATACAGTGAAGTCGCCAATTCCGGGTCACGTCAGGGTGTTTCGTTGATATTTTGCAAATGTGTTCAATTTATATTTTAAACCAAATATGTATTGAAAGAACAAATAGTAAGTCATCCAAACGCCTTTTCGTTTTTAAAGAAGCTTCGGTAAACAAAACCTACCTGAATGACAATGGTAGGCCTATTCTGCATCCCTGACACATCTGACTAACATTAAAGGTTTTTACATGTAGCGTCAACCACATCGTCTCAAGCCACGGTCCGGAGTCCGCATATAGCTCTCTCCTGCCCGTGGATGCTTGGTCACAAAAAGTGTCGTAATCTTGAATATTTATGCCTCTCTATTGTGACGTCATATTCAGTCAGTGGCAAGTTTTGTTTCCATCGCAATCGAAATCAACAACTGACGTCAACAGTATACAAGAAATATTTCCTTTACTGTGATTGGACATTGAAAGTTCGCGGTAAAGTTCATCATCCGACTATGCTTTACTCGCATTGGTCAAATGGTTGTGTATATCGAGTAAAATGGTCATAGTGAGTATCACAGTTCTCCTCTCCTCCATTATATTTTTCCAGGCTGATGAAAATTATACATATGATTTGTAAGGAAAAACATGTTTCAATATTTATCATTGTCATTGTGCAAATTGTCATATTATGAGGCCATGAATAAGATCCATCTTAATATCATATGATGATAATAATTTAAGAGGATTGATATTTAGGTGACTGTCTAAACCCTGAATGAATTCTTCCTGGTTTAAGTTGATCAGGTTCTTCAAAATATCCTTGTATTCACAGTCTGATAGTCTCGTGGAAGTTTGCTTGCTTAGTAAAACGTTGGTACATAGTTATGAAATGAAAGATACTATTGTGTTTGTATACTTGAGCAAGCCAAAGTATTTATAAGATTATGAGAGAAGCGTAATAGATGGTCTTTGAAGTTCATACCTATACAAACATGCGCTGAATTGACAAAGGAACCCGTACGAAACTCTTAACCGTTTTCCGGCCGGAGTCCGGGCGGACTGAGACGGATTCCGGTTAAGTGCTGGGAGGACTTAGCCGTACTGTAGGCGGACCTGGAAAACGTCTAAGCTTTAACCGTTTTCCGTCTCATTTCTTAGGTAGATTCCATCTTAAATCCAGGCGTATTTTTTGTTAGACGTTTTCAGGCTTAGCTCTTAGACGGAATCTGCATTAATCTTTAATTGTGAACAGTTGAAACGAAAACGTCTATGCTTTAACCGTTTTCTGTCTCATATCTTAGGTGGATTCCACCTTAAATCCTAGGCGTATTTTTGTTAGACGTTTTCCGGCTTGACTCTTAGACGGAATCTGCATTAATCTTAGGATTGTGAACAGTTTAAATTATGACCACATATTTAATTCCTCTAGATGACCTTGTTTTCTTAAGGCACTTATGGGGGAGATACTCGTAAAAAATAGTCAAACATAACTTTTAATTAATTTATTTGACTTCGAATATTATGCCTTTATAAGATTTAATATAGCTTTTCCTAGATGAAGAAGTCTTTGCTGCCATATTGTATATATCAGATATACTTTTCCAATGCCCACCTGCCTGATCCCCCTCTACAGGGGCGGAAGTTTTCAGGCAGAGCCTCTCTTTGGATGCATTGGTCAGTTTGAATGCAGATTTTGAAAGTGATGACTGCATGTTGTCGATTTGGTTGATGAATCTTTATAATTATTTCATTCAGTTTAAAAAGGAACTTAGGCAAGTTGTATGCCTGTAAGTTATTATTATTTAGAAGATGATTGTTCATTCGTTATGTGTTTTTGGAAGAAAAGAGTGACAACTTTTAGTGTTATCTAATGAGCTTTGAAGTGAAGTAAATTATGCTCGGCAGTGAACATCATCTGCTAAATGGACGGAGAAGGACCTCGGTACAGGAATAACTGTGGAAAATAAGGGTAAGTTAAATTATAAGCGGTATTTTTCTTTTTTTTTTCTCTCTTTTTTTTATTTCGTACAGCCAAAATTTGGACTCCACCGTGCATTACTCTGTTAATTAATTCCAATAGCATTGAGGCCCCATATATTCACAATACACTCTACACTAACCCAGATATTTAAAAAAAAGATTGCGCTTACAGTAAATTTCAGGCGCCATTTCTTTTTGCCAAATGTATGGTAGCCTCAAACAACTCCCCCCCCCCCCCCCCCCCCCCCCCAATCCTCTAAAGTTTCTCAATATTATGAGTGTTTCCCTTTTGGAATAAAATGTTAAAAAGTACAGAGATAAAAGATGAAAAAAACTAAATTAATTCATTTTTGTAATTATTAAGTAACATGTACTTCTGTACTAACCCAAGTGTTTTCCGTAAATACGATTTCCCTTTAAAATTAGCGACCGTCACTTACTTCCAGTTTTAAAATCACGATTGGAAAATTTGTTATGATTTGTGTCTAAGCACTGTTTTAACCAGTGGTTGGTGGAATTGTGACACAAACACCCTTTTAAAAGTGTATTTCGCTGATTAGTTGGAATCAGGAGTCAGGTTTTGAGATCTGTAAGTCACCATTTACATTCCAAAACATGCATAAGTTAGATCTACATATTCCATGAGCAGCTATTTACCAGGTCCAGTACAATCACTAGATTTAGCTACGTAGGTAGAATTACCTACGTAGCTTTATTTACCTACCTCAGGAAGCTTTATTTAGCTATTTCAAGGTAAAAGTTTTCTTTTTATTAAAAAGAGACAAAAAGTCGTAATTAAATGACTATTGATATTTATAATAGGGAGGCTTTAAAAAACAATTCAAAGCAGAGATATTTTATACATTGCTGCGTTTGGACAATTTAGAGCAAAACGTGTAATTCCATTGTTTGGTTATCTGACCATACGGTAAGGTGCGGTGAGGCATGACTTAGTATGATTATTTCACATTGTGCTGAATAATTACCGACCTATTATCGTGTTAACCGGAACTAGAGTTCTTTGTCATTTTATTCAAGGAGTAACTGTTCTAACTGTCATACATATCCCCAAAACTTTCAGAACTTTGATTGCAATTGCACAGAAAAAGACATTTTTCCAAGAGGGATTTTTTCATGAGTTGTTTTCAGATGAGTTCAAAGTTGAAAATGATCACTGCATCAAAATGATATTGTCTGCAATTTGGTAGCTAAATAAAGCTACCTCAGGTATGTAAATAAAGCTATGTAGGTAAATCAAGCTATGTAGCTAAATCTAGTGATTGTACCAGACCTGTTTACTATCATTTAATTATTACACATGTATATTAAAGAAATATATTTGTAGAAAGGAGTCTTATGTTATTACCTTTTTCAAACATGTCAAATATATGAAAATTATGAAAAGTAATTGAATAAGTCAAGAGATTAAAACCTATTTAATATTGAATTTGTAAATATTAGAATTTTCTGCAGTGCACTGAGTGCAGTGTTATATATTTCAGCACTTCAAGCTGTTCAAGGCCTCAGCAATTATGGCTGATAAAGGTAAAATGAGGACAGCGGCAACTGCAGCGACAGCGGCAACAGCAGGATGAAGACCAAAAGCCACTGTCTATCCACTCTTACCAGTAAACAGGCAATTCTGCTTTCTTCATTTGAGAGCATGCTGAAGATTCATGGGAGAAAGGAATGCAATTTAAAACATGTGCTTCATTCAAATGTAGTGGAGGTTATGAAAGGTAAGAATACATGAAGACAACAGACAACTGATAAGATATATATGAAAAATTATTCTTATATTATGCAACTTTTAGGTTTGAGAAAAATGCACAAGAATGTTTGCATCCTAGCTGATCTATAATACAGAATAGACTTCACAAAAGAATCATTTTATTGAAAAAATGTTAAAGAGTTGTTTTAAAATGACAAATTCATCTCAGTTGTGTATTTTCTTTACAGACTTCATCATGCAGGGTGTGAAGAATGGCACAGGAAAGCTGGAATCATGGAAAAGATAGCTAGGTTATACCAGATAACTTAGGAAGGAAAACAAAAATATGACACACTATTTCCTTACAGACAGAAAGAATTTTGTGAAAATATTCAACCAGTTGTAAATTAACGGCTAATTAATAAATCAAGTTTTGATATAATATTTTTTATCTTTTAATTTCAAGTGAAGGCAAGGTATGACATTTTTAAATGTTAACATTTTTGTAGTGACTGTCATTGAATTTTATAGGACTTTAAAATAAATGATATATAATTTGTATAAATTCATTTATTTTAATTGTTTGTAAAAGTCTGTATAGCTGAATTACATTGTGATGAGAACATGTAGATTATGTAAATATTAATGTGAATTTCCTCTAACCATTAGGCGGAATACCCCTTGTTAATAAGAGGGAATACGCCTATCTGATGTTAGGCGGAATATGCCTTACAGGTTAGGCGGAATACGCCTATTGCATGTAAGGCGGAATACGCCTTGCAGGTAAGGCAGAATATGCCTTGCAGGTTAGGCGGAATACGCCTTGCAGGTTAGGCGGAATACGCCTTGCAGGTAATCCATATTAGGAAAGGTGGAATACGCCTTAACTCATTTAAATATTTCGAGCCCTATTACGCCCTGACTCCACCCGGACGCCGTCTAATTGTCTTATTAAGTTCCTTATAGATGATAGGCGGATTCCGTCTTCTGAATTCCACCTGGAGTCAGGGCGTAAATTTTTGTACAGGAAGTGATGGTAATAAACTGTCTTAGAAGACAAAAGAAGCAAAGAGTGTGGCCGGATTGTTGGATGACCAAATAAACATCACAAGTCGATCGCAATCGCTGTCCAAGGGAGGGATGTGCATGGGATGATGTCGGCGGGGCATTGTCCCTAGCCAAATTGCGAAAATTAGCGACATTAATCAACCAAACTCATAAGAAATTTATTAGGACCGAAAGGAATTAGACATTTCATATTCTAACCCTGATGATCTGACCTTCCTACTTAAATGCGTCTTGGAAAACAATTACTTAATTTAGTTTGACGGGAAATATTAACAAAAGTGCAGAGAAATGCGTCATCAGAATGTATCAAATCAGAGAGCATATTATGACACAATTCCAAAATTGAAGCAAAATTATCTTCAACGGCAGATTCCATGATAATGGTTTTATAATGTTCAATGGAACGCACTTACAGATTGAAGAATTCTTCAACATAGGCAACAACTGTCACAAGCATCTAAGATTCACATTTGAAATTTCTCCATCTACTGTAAACTTCCTTGATACTACAGTTTACAAAGGACTCAAAAATTTAACAAACTGGATATCAATTCGTTTATCAAACCAACAAATAACTTTTAGTATACACTGTTCACAGACAGAGCGCTCATAGCCCAGCTTGTTTAAAGGATTCATCAAGGAGAATGCATTAGACATGAAAGAAATACTACTGACCCTTAAATATTACATGCAACATTTAATGACTTCAAGATGCACTTATCTAAGCGAGGTTACTCTCCTTCAGAAATTGATCCTATTATCAAAGAAACGATCAACACAAACCGATCAAAACTTATCCTCAAAAACACTTAAGAACAACCGTTACGTAATGTATACCCTACAGTACTGGTTACTACCAGGTAAATTTAACCTTTACATTAAAGGAATGAAAAAACAGATTTTAAAATATTGGAATATAATTCTTAGAAATCCAGAATGCACAACTTTATTCAATTCTCAACCAATCATAGCTAAATTACAGCAAACACAAGAACATAGGTAACGAGATAATGAACAGCATGATTTATATCTGTCATCCCTGATGAGGTTTCTTAATAGCCGAAACACTCTACAACTACTTGCATAATTCAAATCAAATTCATCTACTCTATGCAAAAAAACGTATCTACTATAAGTGTTATTTAGAGTGTTGGGTCCTAATAAATCTCTTAGAAGTTTGGTTGATTGACGTTATGGATTTTCACACATTGTGCAAATGAAATAAGAATAGAAATATCATTGCTCACATATTTATTCAATATACATGTATCACTAATATTTGCAGTATGTTTGAAAAAAAATGCAATCTGTATAAACCATATCAAAATCCGACAAAACGTTGAAAAAATTCAGTAAATGTAAATGTCTATTATAACTTTAAATTCGCCAGTTTTTTTCCCAATAAAACACTTTTCACTTTCCAATCTACATTTTTATGACGAGTCGTGTGAGGAAAATCATACTTTTTGATTTTCAACAGTGAAGTTCAAATTTTAATTTATTGCAATAATTTTCCTGAGAGGAAAATTTCCGGCCAACCCACTTAAAAATGAAAAAAAATGTTAAGACCCTCTTAAACATTATGTAATTGATTTGCGTAAGACATCCGGAAGATGAAATTGGGCTTCCTTTTTTTGATGCTGACAAATTTTTCACATTTTGATAAATTGTTTATAAATATGGTGAAATCAACATGCATCGGACCCTTTCGTACTTTATCAAGATCTAGCGATATAGGTACCGCCAAAATGACATCAGAATGGATCTTAACAGTATTTACATGTAGTATGTGAATATAATTTTTGAAATAATTATATGCTGTTTATTGAGAAAGTATCACTGAAATTCGATTTAAAAAATGAGTCCTAATTCACAATGAAACGGACAATATTCAGCATGCAAAGTGATTTGGAATTTTTTATGTAGAAATTTACTTTTTAATTCAATTTAATTGATTACTTCGGTCTACAAATGTAGAACAATTTCTTTTGCATCACATAGCATTAGAAAGGTTTGAGAATGCTAGTTGTATGTCAGCTTGAGTTCGCGCCTTTGTTTCGTCGGTTGTAAAATTTTAGACGTTATATATCATGAACATGTATTTTCACTGGATATCTATTTCCACTAAAAAGAAAGTCAAAAATGTTCTGTACGATTATCAGATTTTGATTCTAATGAACGGTTTTGCCGTGGTTACTAAAAATAGAAATTTCTGTATAATGATTTCAAAATGCTACTCATCATACAGTTTTAGTTTGGTTTTGATATAACTTGGGACACAAATAGACTACTCTAAGATACATAATACCGTATTTGATTTAAATGAAAGTTGTTGCCTTGGTTACTAGAAATAGATATTTCTGTGAAATACAAGTTTTCAAAATAATACCCCGAATACAGTTTTAGTCTGATTATAATATAATGTGGCATGCGAATAGAATGCACTTAGGTACATAATTGTCTCTCTTTTTATTTTGATGAATGATTTTCCATGTGATTTTAAATTGAAAATTCTAAGAAAAAAATTATTAAAGACTACTTCTTTCAGATAATGTCAGAATTTTAAAAATTGAATAATTTGCCTGAGAGAAAAATTTCAGGTACAGACCATACACACTTTAGTATGGATATAACATGTGATATAGCCCTCTTAAACATTATGTAATTGATTTACGTCAGACATCCGTAAAATGAAATTGGGCTTCCTTCTTTTGTTCATTTGATATTTTGTTTATACTTGCTTTAATAATCTACCAGTTTTAGAGTGTAATGAATAAATCTGCAATTATACAAGTTAGGTTTAGCGGTAGTAAAAAAATATGTATTTGACATCATACACTACTTTCGACTTCTACATTTTTTTGTTTAGTTTTTTTTTTCAATCATGCTATTGTTTTCATTATTACTAGTGGAGATTTAGGAATTTATGCATGCAATTCTATAGTTCTTTGATTCGTTTTCTACTTAATTTTAAATTAAATGTTAGACACATTTTTAACATTCTGATAAACTCTTACAGAATTCTTCAACGTTTAATGGCAAACATTATACAGTTTACTTATTTCCAGTGAGAATACCCTACTTTTGGTACCAATTAATTAAATTTGCATTTAAGAAAACTTTATCTTTGCTATGTTTCACAAACACACCTTTTTTTTAATTTCAGATCAGATACATGTACAAGCAATATCAACGTCTTATATATACCTTGTTCCTTTTCCATTATTCTGGTGAGTAGCATGCTGTTTTGTGCAACGTCTTCATTACGCATGTGAAATAATTTATCCCCTTCCCCCCAACGTATACGTTTATTACTTATGCTTATAAATTCTTTAGATATTGATGGCGTTATTCAGGCAAGCTTTTTGAAAAGCTATTATATGTGTTTGTGTACTTTTTTCTATATTTAAATACAAATCCCTTTACATTTAAATTTCACAGCAATGATATAAGAAAATAAACAACTTTGATGATTGTCAATTTTAATACATTTTAATTTACGACATAAACTGAAGATTTTTAATTATTAAATACACCTACGCATTTATGATTCGATTAAGAAGAAAAACCACATTAATCCATGTGTTCTGCATCACATGTAAACTCTCATCGCAAAAACACAAACTGTATCAATTTCTTTTTAGCTCACTTGATCCTAGAGCTTATATAAACTTTAAGAATCAAAAGTGCCCGGCGTTCGTCCGGCGACTGTTTTCCTGTTTTGTGTTGTTTGTACAATAGTCTATTTACATTTATGACTTCAACTCCTGACAATTTCTTCAATTCAGCCACACTTGCCCGAAACTATCCTGAGGAGAATGGAATTGAAGTTTGCTCAGAGCAAGTTCAATTTTCCTTTTCAAGGGAAAATGATTTCAGAATTCATCAAAATTTGGTGGCGTTTTCTACAAAAATTCATTTTTCAAGATCCATCAGGCTACAAAAAATAAGATTTAAAAATAAAACTTCATGGCATTCTGTAGATTAAAAAAAATTGTTCATACTAAGACCCTGAGTAGGACGGATAGGGTGGCGGGTTAAATTTTTACAAAAGGAATAGCTAGGAAATAAAGAAATATACTTTAAAATCTTCTTTCAAGAATACTACAGCCATGATCAGTCATTTTATGTGATATTATCCTAAAAAAGTGTATATTAAGGTTTGGTTTAAATCAAGACCGTTTCGTGTATAGAGGGCAGAAATAAGGGTCAATGTGAACTAAGAAATACGTGTATATAGGAGTTAATTTAATTTTTTCCCAGGAAAAGCAAAGCCATGATTAGTCATATTGAGATGAAAGCATACGCAGGTAGTTTAGATTTGTCCAAATCGTAGCTTACAGGGGCAGGGTGGGACAACAATACAATCAAAGTTTTACAAAGGAAAACAAAGGAAACAGGGAATGCTTACTTTTCCTAGGCATCTGATCCCACCTATCGAATTTCCCGATACTTTTATTCCCTATTCACTGATTTGTATTATTTGAGATCAGTCAACATTCGTTTTCTTCAAGTTTATTATTTAGAGTCTTTCAATAGTATCAAATTTATGCTGATTTTGATCTGTATGGAACATCATTAGGTTATTTAGAATGACGTTTGCTCAGATCACACCACCCGGGGGGAGGGGGATGGATAGGGGGTCATTAATATCTGATTAAATTTATTGACATGAATGTTCACGAATAAGAGAATCATGAAGAGCAAAAGGACCATAGATACTCAGGTGAACATTGTGGTCTATAACCCTTTTTGGTTTAGTGGTTTAGAGTTTCTGAGAAACAGTACTTGAGAGCTAGGGATAATTGCTTACAATGCACAAATATCACGTGGCGCACATCACGTGGTGTATCTTTACTTATACTTAAGTCCGAACAAAATTGATTTATCACAAAAGACGTCTTATTCTCAAATTCTCAACATAGTTGCTTGCAGTATAAGCTTTGGAAAGGTAAGATTATATATATAATTTTTTTTCCAACAAACAGCAACGATTTCAAGAGGATAAATTGTATCTGCATTTAAAAAAATAGATTTTGCAAAATTTTTATCAAATTCTTAACATTCTGAGATGGACAAATAATATTTAAGTAGGTTTTTCTTATATAGACCTATATTAGACATTTACCAACTGTTTAAACACAATTTCATGCATGTGTGCTTAAACCCTATTGGATAAACTTGAAATGACCAAAACTTTCTTAAGGATTTCCATCCCTAAAGGGACCTTATTCCCTACCCTTAAATGTCAGTCAAGTGCATAATACTCTGATATCATATTAAAACAATTAATAGTCGAATAGGATTATCCGCGAGAAAATTTTAAAAAATTCATTAATCAAGCAGTAGTTAATTAACAAAGATTGCTTTGAAGTCTATGGGGAAAAACGTTTTTTTCAAAATAGAAATTCAAATAATTTGAATATCAATTATTCCTGCGGTGGAAAGATGCATTGAATAATTGAAAATAAAATGACAATTGAAAACAATTTTTTACCGGCTAATTCTTTTAAATTGTTTTATTATTATTTTTTTTTTATTTTTTATTAATTTTATTAATTAACTCTTACCAAAAATCAAGGTCATGAATTAGTACACATCATACTATACATATACTACTCAAAATTTGATAAGGATCATTAAAATTTTCTATATATTGAGATAATCAATAACTGTATAACTGGCAATATTTTGTCCAAATGCAAAAAAAAATGTCTTCAACAAACTTGCACGTGCATTTCATGTCATGGAAATGGTTTCTCGTCACAGTTTATACTTTTACTACAATTGCACGATTTTCACTCAGGCAGCGGTGTGATTCTTTCTTAGATTTAAAAGAACTCACCTGAGTGTTTACACTACGTTTATCAACACAATGGCCCCTCAACGTGTAAGGCGTCGTCTGACGACAGAACAACTAGGTAGATGTATTGGAATGCTTGACGCTGGTTATTCACAACGTGATGTTGCAAATGCGCTTAACGTCAGCCAAAGCGTTGTAAACAGAGCCTGGAACTGACGACAAACTTTTGGTACAGCAGCACACCGACATGGGGGTGGTCGTCAGAGATCAACAACTCAACGCCAAGACCATTTTGTGGCTCTTCAGGCACGACGCCACCCCTTCTGGACAGCAACCAGCCTGCGTAACTACCTCCTGAACGCCTCGGGGGTAAATGTCTCAACTCAGACGATACGGAATCGGCTTCACAATGCAGGTCTCAACTCGAGAAGGGCATGTGTTCGAATCCCTCTGACTGTGCTACACCGGCGGAAGCGATTGGACTGGGCTGAAGACCATGTCACTTGGACACAGAACGATTGGGTTCCAGTTCTGTTCACCGATGAGTCCGGGTATTGTTTGGACTTTACAGACAGGAGGCACCGAGTGTAGCGACGATAGCGTGAACGTTTTCATGATACCCACATCAGTAAACATGACCGTTATGGTGGTGGTTCCATCATGGTCTGGGGTGGAATCAGCAGGGATGGAAGAACAGATCTTCATGTCCTGGAGAGAGGAACAATGACGGGGGTGCGGTACCGGGATGAGATCCTGGATGTTTATGTTAGACCCTACGCTGGTGCTGTTGGCCCTGAGTTCATCCTGATGGATGATAACGCCCGTCCACATCGCGCCAGGGTGGTGGAGCAGTACCTTCAACAGGAGACAATTGTCCGTATGGACTGGCCAGCACGCTCGCCGGACTTGAACCCGATTGAGCATGTTTGGAACATGCCGCAAGTTGCCCTTTCATGCCGTAGAGCACAACCCACGACTTTGGCAGAGCTGGGAAACGCCCTCGTTGAAGAGTGGAACAACCTTCCCATAAGAAACATCCGGGTGCTTATTGACAGCATGGCTCGACGTTGTCAAGCCGTCATTGATGCAAGGGGAGGCCATACTCGGTATTGACACTACATCGACTATTTGTGATGATGGACTTTCTCCAAAAACTTTGCAATATTTTCTCTGGTTTTCTGTTAACTTTTTTGTAATGAAATGCCTTTTGGTGTTGTAATAAGATTTCAAGCATTCCTTATTGGTAAAAGTTCATGTTGTTCATAGATACCCTTTCATAAACTGAGTAAACACGTTTTTGAGTTAAATTTTTGTCTGTTGTTATGTTATTGGTAAATTACACATATATAACCTAGTGATCCTTATCAAATTTTGAGTAGTATACTAATAGTAATAAATGGCAAGTATGTCTAAATAAAATTAGTACTCAAGCCTACATATCTGCTATGTTTTCAATTTCATTGAATCTGTGAATGTATCATCGATTTAAAAAAAACAACAATTGGTAAATAAGGAACACAATGCCAATTATGTACAGATATACATTTTCATCCATTAATTTCTTTCAGTATGGGCCAGACATCGAGCACAAATGATGAGTCAATCAATACTGGAAACATCAATATATCAAGCGGTTCTACCAATACCGGAAACCGGAGACATAACTGTCGGTAACATCACTGGAAATGACAGACATAAAACTTTTATCCCACGAACGAAATGAGGTAAGCGTCATCCCTTCTGGAGAATATGCCACTATCCCAAAAGCCAGTGGTTTTATTTCCGTCTTTCTTAAGAATGGAGAGGGAGAATCGGAAAAATTTGATGTTGCCAAGTATGCAAGTGAATCGGGAAGAAATTTCATAGTGAAGGATGACAGCGGCGGTAAAGTCAACGTTTGTAGAGCAAAGCACGGGACGAAATTGGAAGTGGATTGTCCCCTGGAGAAAATGTAAAATCAGACAATCAGTATTCCTTTTCAAATTGTAATGTACGTTGCTTTTCTTTGCTTCTGTCCATTTTAAGAATGGAATTCTTTATATATACCAAGAATCAGTTTTGAATCTTCTTCATTTCAATTACTATTATAATAGCGTAATAAAAAACCTATCTGTCTTGCATGTATATTTGGAGCATCTGCTATTTAATTTGTAATGAAATTAAACAGGAAAACTTAACTGTTACCGACTTATCAATCAACGTTTTAAGAACACCATGGCGTTAGAGTATTGCGTTTTTAATACACAATCAAAAGAAAAGACAGAAATATAACATCAAATGGAAGAGAAAATACATTTACAGAATGCCAAATAATATGCAACCAAAGTTGTTAATTCATTGGTGAAAGGAAACCAGAAAAAAACATCCACCACACACCAGTACTGTGCAGGTTGAACAAATAAAACAACACCCCCACCCCCCACACTCCTAAGTATTTTGGTCACTGCCCGTAAAGTACATGTCTGTACTACAAAATTATTACACCTGGTGAATTCTTTTCATCTGAAAGAAAGGGGGAAAATTTAGTCTTCAAAACAAATCGATACAGTGGGATTTGAATTTGAAGTGTTTAATTATTTGTTATTGTCTATTATATTATTTATGTATTACATGTAAAGTGCTATTGCTTGTTTCCTCTACGTCACAAAAATAAAGCCTAACATTTACATCTTAAGTATCCTTTTTATATGTGTTGCTGGTTTTGATTATGGATATATGGCTTCCCTCTGAATATTTAATGTTTTTCCTTTTGCAAATCAGATGTTACCATACACCAAGGTTCGTTTAACACTTACATGTAACAATTCTTTCTAAAATGATTTTTGGAATGTTAATATAATATTAGTTCGAATATATAAATGTCAAAAACACCAACTAATTTGGTATATTGGAATTTAATATTTTAGTTAAAAAATCTAAATTTTCAAATTTCAGAAAAGGTTAAAAATTTTAATATTTTTAATTTTTTATTTGTTAAGTGTTACATGTACCCACCACCTATCAGATTCCAAATTGATTTAAACAAGGAAATCAAAATAATTGTTGTCCCCTGCTTTCGGTGTCTTAGTAAAATTGAGATGTCGTTAGCAACACTTGAAAATATTTTAAAATTAAGTCAAACATGAATAACACGGAGACAAATATAGCACATTAGAAAACAAGAGGCCCACGGACCTTATAGGTCACCTGAGTATCGTATTCCACTCCACATGAACCTTTGACCCTAGGGTCACATGTTTAACAATTTTGGAAAAGGCACCCGTGCTCATCATAAATGTTTGATTTAAATACCAACAAAAACAGATTCCAAACCATTTATTTATCTTCAGTATTGAATCATTAGACCCCCCTTCCACATCAGCCCAAAGGCCTTGAAAATTTCAATTCAGTAACAAAGAGATTTTCAAAGAATGAACGCATTTTCAGTATGTCCTCAATACAGTCCCGAAGTAATACATGTACACCGGAACCCCTGACCCAGGGGCCATTAAATTCACAATATTGGAAGAGGCACTCTTCTTTATTATACCTATGTACATACATGTAGTTTATTGGCTTGATACTGAGTACCCAGGAGAAGAAAATAGTTGATGTATTTTCACCATACAATCAATGGAGCCCCCTAACACCGGAACCCCTGACCCATGGGCCATAAAATCACACAATATTGGAAGAGGCATCTTCCTTTACATAGCTATATAAATAGTTCATTGGCTTAATACCCAGGAGCAGAGGAGAATATTTTCAAAGAATTAATGCTTTTTCACTCAATAATTAATGGACCCCGGCCCTAACACCTGAACCCCTGACCCAGGGGTCATGAAAATCACAGTTTTGGAAGAAGCAACCTTCCTCACCTTAATACCCAGGAGCAAAGGAGATTTTCAAAGTATTAATGCACATTTACTTTGTAATCAACAGAGCCACACCCTACATGTAACACCAGAATCCGTGTCCCAAGGGCCATGGATTTCAAACTTTTGGTAAAGGCAACCTTATTCATCATAACTATGCATTTAATTTGTTTTCATAAAACTCAGGAGCAGAGGAGAATGTTCTCAAAGAATTAATGCATTTTCACTATATATCATTATACGCAGTAACCCCGCCCTAACACCAATTTTCGCAATTGTAGTAGGGAGCTCAATGCTTTTTAGAATTTTGCCAACAATTTGACTCCTTGATTCCCAGAAGTAAAGAAGGAGATTTCTAAAGATTGCATAAATTTTAGAGGTTTTGGTCCAATCCCTCAGACCCCATGAAATTCAAATTTTTTGTTCCCCTTCAGCCATAGACGCTTTATGCCAAAATGGGTTGAAATTGGTTGAGCGGCTGCAGAAAAAAGCTGAAAATGTTCAAATGTTAACACACGACGAACGATTCACGAAACAACGCTTACGTCCGAAACGATGGACGAAGACAGATAGCTATTGGTAACCTGAGTTTACGCAGGTGACCTAAAAATTTGACACGGGTAATGCACTTGTCAAATATTCAACGCCCTATCATATGTGATTTAAAAGTAATGACCACAGTTAAAAACTTTGAAAAATAGGTCAAGGTCACGGGATCAAGGCCATAATAAATTTGGAGAGATCTTTTCACAGGTGTTATACATATTTAATATGAAAGCCCTAGTTCTTATCATTCAAATTTCATAAACAATACCAATTTAAACTAGTGCTAATTGTAACGGGGACCGTTACAGATGTTCCCCAAACGCTCCCCAAATCCCTTTTTTGTGCCATTTTCCTGTAAGACATTTTTAAAATATGCTCAGTATCAAAGGATTTCATATAAGATTAAAGCTACAATGATACAGACTATATGTCATTTAACTTATTGCACGCGCACGCACGTGCATGCACATGCAAGATGATCATGGCATGTTGTCTAAACCATTAACATTTCTTAATGTCGTTAGAATCAAAAAGAAAAATCATAAAAATATAAATTTTACCGTTTTTCAAATATATTGGTCATTTTGCGTATTGTGCACGTGCAAGCATGCGTGTCCTTGCATTCAATTCTGATAGCAGCATAATGTAGTAATTCATCATACCTATCCATATTCTAAATTTCATCCCGTTCTGTTGAGAACCAAGAAAGTTATAGGTATTTAAAGTTTCAGCCAATCAGATTGCAGCACATGTGCATGCGCATGCTTTTATGATAATTGTTATAGATCATGCTGTAGATCTTCATAATGTATGACTATGTTCAAAATTTCAAAGGTTTTTGTCAAAAAACAAGAAAGATATTGATACTTTAGTTTCAGCCAATCAGAGCGAAGCGCACGTGCATGCGCGTGAGATCTTGCTATTTTGACCATGTCATCATGTCTATACTACTAATATATCCTCACATTATGAGTTTTAAAGCATTTTATCAAAAAAAAGAAATGTTGCGGCTATATCTATTATATTGGTCATTTCACGTGTTGCACGTGCGCACTCTTGCAAGCACGTGCGCGCAAAATGACCTTGATTCCGCAAATCTACATAACATGTCTACTGACCCTAAAAAGGTTTTACCTACATCGGACGAACAGTTTACAAGATCATTCCCGGACAAAAAAGTACCCAGGAAGAAGAAGAAGAAGAAAAATAATAATAATAAGAAACAGAGTAAAAACAATATGTTCCCCAACTTCGTTTGGGGAACATAAATATTTTTTTTAAATTGGTCCATCTTTAGGGTCGAGGGTCAAAACAGTGTGGTGTATTTGGAAAGGTACTGTTACAGTTAATGCACATGTTAATTAAGAAAGCCCATTTTTTCTCAATCAAAACTTATAATATAAATATTGCATGTAGTTGAGTGTTACATTGAAAATTTCTACTCCAAGAAAACCATTGTCAACCGAGACGCAGACGAGGTCGACAATGGTTTTGTAGGGGTGGAAATTTTCAATGTTACACTCAACTAAATGCAATATGTATTACATATTATGCTGAATGCTTTATACAAATACATATAACAGAGAACCCTGCCCGCCTAAATTCTGCGCAGTCGCTTTTTTGGAATATCACCAGTCCTCAAGCAATGGTGACTGTTGCTACGCAGGAGGCGTGGCTTCATTATTCTGCGGGTAAAAATGTTTTTTAACAAATGTTTCTCGACGAACCAGATTCAAGAAATTTACATGAAAGTAAAATATAAGCAAATATATAAGTTTGAAAAGCAGATCAAACAGGAGGGTCGTTATCAAGGTCATGGGATGGGTAAGATACATGTATAATAAGAGAAAAAAGATACCACAGAGTCTGACACACTTTTTCGTATTGGGATATTTCACTTGAAAAGGTGTTAATGGTAGTCTTACAACCAAGCTTTATGATAAACGTGATGGCTTTAACTTTTCAATCGTCAACTTCCCTTACCTATGAAGCAATAGACCTTCATCAACTCCATACGGGGTTTATATCTCTATAGCCTGTGCTAAATCGGGGTCAAAGAAAAAAAAAACAGAATTATATTCACAATTCATTGTTTATTTCAAAAGTACCTTACAATATAAATGTGTCGATGTATTTATTTTGTAAATGTATGATATGCACATAGATGCATTCATAACAATGTCAACACATGCACGCAAGTCTAGTATATCTTTATATGAACAAACACTAAATTAATGTAGCATTTTAAATATTGGTCCTTTTTTACATGGACTATAAGCTACATTTAGCAGCAATTTTACAACCTGGTGCTAAATGGAACAGTACGTGTTCTCGCAGCGTGGTGACCTAATTCGTTTCTCTATAGAGAAACGATCGGTCATATGTTCGAGCTGCTTAAAACAATAGAAATAAAGTCCTTGTTGTCGTGAATGATGCAGAATAACGCCTCGACTTTCATCTTTTAAAGAACATGTCTCAGCCTGGAAGGTTATTCTGCAACATTCACGAAAACGCGGACTTTATTTCTTAATTAATGCAACATTGTTTTTTAACAAGGAGTTGCACGTTTTCTTTAACTCTAGGAAGCTGTATACATGTAATATGTTAAGCTCGACTGAGCCGAAGTGCCAAGTGATATCCTCTGTGATCAACAAGTGTCCAGTGTCCTTCTGTCCTGTGTCGTATGTAAACACTTCACATTATTTTATTTCTTCTACAGAACCACTGGTAAAATTTCAACCGAATTGGCCACAAAGACTTGTGTTTATCATCTTATTTCTTACAGCGTAAATACAATTTTCCGATACATTATCCTTCTACGACTTATTCTACTCCTGACTACGCCATTTCCACCATCTTTCTTTTAAATTTGCCATGTTTAATTCTTTTGGGGCACTCTGCCTTCGTTGTACAGTACCCCCAACGTTACTCTTTACAATTCTATCGTGTCCTATCGTGGATTTATCCTATAGTCTCGTGCGTGTATCCAATCGTATCGTTTGTGTATCCTGTCGTATCGTGCATGTATTCTATAGTATCGTGTTTTCAGTTTATTAGGTATCCGTTTTCTATCGTGTTTTGCGTGTATCGTGTTCATTCGGAAACACTCGTTCTTCCTCTTTACTATGGAAAGAACCTATCGAGATATTCCGAGTTTATTTTTCGTTTTGTGAACTTACATACGATTAATTCATTTGAGAAATGGAAAATAATGTTTTATGCATAAGGTTTTCATCATTAAATATACATGTACGTGTAGAAAAAGAAGAGTAAAATAAATGAATGAAATTATGAATAAATAAATAAATAAATAAATTAATTAAATAATTAATTAATTAATAATATCTTTATCCATGTTATCATGGGCAAGCAGAGAGCGTTAATCGAAATTAAAATCCTAGCTATTTTCCAAAAAAACAGACAATCGATCCCTTTGTCTATTTTATTTCTTAATCGTATTGTAGGATTTTATTTTATTCAAATTAGAAATTTTATAATATCTTAAATTTAACAGAGTCACTGGAAGATTTTCGTAAAGGCCGAATGTATATAGTACATGAATTTACTGCGTTGGCCTTAGGGTCCATGGTCCACGCAATGAAATTTTTAAATATATAAACATAGAACAAGAAACATATATTGACGCAAGCGTCAAAAATCGGCCGCAATCCAATTGGTCCTTTCAGTGAAGTAATAAGTAACTGGAATATTCGTTCTGTTATTAATATATCTATTGTTGTGAGGTGTGTTGTATTTGTATTATTTCATCATGTATATTATTAGTAACATTAAGTTTCTTGAACATTCCAGAGTGGTCAATATGTTTAGTCATTTTTTCTAGAACATTCTTGAACTTTATTCATGTCCAGAACTTTCCAGGAATATCATGTACTTACAACTTCTAGAATATTCTAGATTTATATTACTGTATAAATACCCTGTCAATTCGATGCATAGATACACTCTTGTCGTATGAGCACCATTGAGTTACAACTGGGATATAATTTCACTGGGACATTGTGTGCAGCAACGGACACTCTGATGTATGTATTTTTAGATTTTTGCTAAGTTTGTACTTAATGATTTGTATATTACTGTAAATAAATTATTGTTAAGTTTAAACTGTGTGATTGATCTTTGCTGGCATTTAGGGTTATTCTGACCCATAACACTATCTGTTAATTAATTTATTACTGTGACATTGAAAATTTGCATGCGACATTACAGGATTTTCTCCAAAACATATTACGTGTATAATACTACGTCATGTACAAGCAAACTACTTCCACAGGCACCTGAAGTATGGATAATACCCCCCCCCCTTTTCTTATCCCCGTTTCGCCTTATCTGATTGGTTAAATTAATTTTAATACAGTTTAAATATCTAACCAATCAGATAAGGCGAAACAGAAAAGCAACTCCAAAACCTCCTCCAAAGCAGTCAATGGAGAAAATTTTATGTATCCAATTAATAAATCGTCCGATTACGGCATACCAAACGATAATAGCGGGGTTTAGGTTTAAGAGACTAGTAGAAGAACATCTCCCTGTCAGGGTGCTTGCAAAATTATGATAGGTAACACTAATTATTACCTTGGTAATTTGTCTCGAAGCAGCCCCACCCCCACCCCCCCCCCCCCGTTTGTTTACAACTTTTGTTTCTTATATACCTTGTGTATTTTTATTATACCGAATAGGGCCATTCTTTAAACGTAAGAAAAAGTACAATCTGTTTGCATATAACGACATATCCATTCTTCAGGTGCCTGTGCTACTTCTAGTCCTCTGAGTCTCCGACAAACGAACTCGGGTGAAAGTTTGATGTTTTTAAAGACTAGTAGTATTTCCATTTAAAGATTAAAACTTAAGTTTAAATTTATCTTAACCATAGAGATATATAGTTTTACCTAATTAAAAACGCAACAAATATGTGGGGCTTTCTTCGCCCGCTATCAGAGGATGTAACCCCCCCCCCCACCCACACCCCTTATATATAATAACTCCCTCTAGATCAGTCACTACATTTCTCCTCTTGTAAGATGTGGCGGGAAAAAGCTTGGCATACTGTAAAACGCGCATTATCCTTGTCTGTTGCAGCAAAATCTCGTAATGTTCTGTCTGATAATACGTTGTCATTTAATCATTTGGATATTGTCTTTCGGAAATGTATATATACATGTGTATATACAGAGCATTTAGAAATATATTCAACAAATCATGTTTAGATAGAGAAAGTAATTTTTTTTTTTCGTGTTTTTATGGGACTATTAATTTTTTTATAGTAAAATTTGTCGTCATGGGGCCTCGTGCATTTCAGATCTACTAAATTAGACGATATTTGATTTATTTTAAGATTGTTATTTCAAGTAAAAATGGAAATATAAGAAATTACTGTGTAGTAATGAGAGTATGCCAGGGACATCAAAAATAGTGGAAAACATGGGATAATTTTAGCATAACGGGCTTTTCGTAATTTTCGATCATGCGGTTAAAAAATATCGAATATCATTCTACCCTGCGTTTCTTATTCCTTTCAGTATACATGTATATTCTTTTACCTATTTTGCAATTGATTAAAAATCATTAGAATATATATAAGTGATTTCTTTAATTTATATCCTCCTTTAATTTTGTGAATAAGTGCCGTGTTAGCTGCAATTATTTACCCCTCTCCTGTTATACTTTTCGACACAAATATATACATGTAGCTTTAGAAAGGTAGGAATCGTAATAAAACGAATTCAAAGTTGTTGACATGACAACCAATTGCCTGGTACATTCTGTATGTCCATATATGTATATGCATATACCCCGTTTCCAACAGAGGCGTGGGAACCCGGGGGGGGGGGGGGGTAGCGGGGCTTACCCCCTAACTTTTTTGCAAATATATACATAGTATAGGCACTGTAAATCGGGGTTTACCTATTTTTGTTGGTTTAGCCCCCTCCAACTTTCAATTTGCTTCAAACATCTATGTTCAATATATACGGTTGAGAAAGTTGTGTTGTATAAAACCTCGTATAACTTCAGGTCATAAGTCATTATCTATGTCAAATGTATAACGCTACCTGGATATTTCTGTCCAGGATAAGGGCGTATATCGATGAGCTGAAAATGTGCATTCTAGATGATTAATGTGCAATCAGTTTTCTGCAGAACCTCTTTCCATTATACTGACATAAGTAAATCGGTGTGTTAGGGACTGAAAACATAATTTAATAAAATTTTCATTTAATTCAAATTGTTAATCACGCTTTTGAAATGGGAGCAAACATTCGTGCAGCTGCATGTCATTAGAAATATCCAACTCCAACTGACCGCTTTCTGTTATCTATCTACGCATCTATCCGGTCACTTTGCGTGACGTTACTTACTTGCAAATATCAAAAGTGCCATCTTTCTTTCCAAATTGAAAAAAATGTCATTAAAAGATGACGCCAAATTTAGAAACAATGGAATGGACTCTAGTTATGAACATTCGTTAGATTCGGAAAAATTAATGGATGAATCAAGACAGCAGAAAGGCGAGGCCGTAGTGGAGATCAAAGATGAACGACAAAACCAACTCCTATACAAAGTCTCCGATCATCCCCCGATATACCTAACTATCTTCTGTGGTCTACAGGTATTGTATATGTATTTCATACTGTAAGCAAAATAAAAAAAAAATATAAATTTTACGAAGATTCTTGCGTTTAATTGAAATTTAATAAGGGGACTGATAATTATGTTCCATTAAATTATTAAAAACAACATTTAAAACTACCTTTGCCACGTAAGCAAAGTTCAATATATTGAAAATTTAAAATATTTAAGGGAAAATAGTGAAATTTATTTAATTCGGAACCCATTTTGAATTAATTATTTTATTTTCTTGTTTTAAAGAACCGCGTAAACATACTGTTTACCTTGTTGAAACCAACGCCTTTCCTTTTCCGACAAAACATTCCTCAGTGCATTACAAATTAGACAGATTTCAACGTTCGATTAATCTTTTTTTCATTTAAGAAAATTTCTTCTTTCTTTTGCAAGCACACTTTAATTTCTCTTTCCGCGAACATGGCGATCTCCCTTTTGGTAGCTGATGTGACATGTGCAACTCACATGGAAGATATTAAAACCACACTTCTGAGTTCTACTCTTCTGATGTCGGGTGTCTGTACCTTATTGATGAGTCTCGTCGGTTCCAGGTAAAAACCATGTTTAGTTTGTAAAGCTTTAGCTCCGTAAACGAGAGGTCGTGAATTCGAGTTACGACCGACACTAACATAAGTTGATTAAAAATAGGTAGCAACTGCTCCTTTGCTATATGCGCTTGGCACATGACCTGAAAGTTGCGACTCCTTCAAAATAAGAAATTAAACTTCGAGGTCCTGTGTCTTAGCATGTGTTGGCACGTTAAAGATTCCTCACTGCCCAATGACCCCGGATGCAAAGTAAAGGTCAAAATTGGAAGCTTTTCCGGTATATGATGGCGTTTCTAAATAATTGCAAAATTCTCGAAAGCGATATACATGTAAAACAACATAAAATCAATCATGTGTAATTTTTAAGAGTGTTAATTTTTCATGAATTAATATTTTCATGGATATTTATTTTGTTTCCATAGACTTCCTCTATTTCAAGGAGCTGCAGGAGATTTTCTTATCCCTCTGTTGGCTATGCAAGTTCTGGACAAGACGAGGTGCAGTTTTAATGACGACTTCGATTCTGGTAAAGATTTAAGATCAGTTTTAGTTCTTAGTTTAAAGTATTTCTTATGCTACATTGTAAGTATTCAAAGTATGTATCTTTTAATATATATCAATTATAGTTAAATCGTTTTAATGATTTGGAAAACTGTTAAGATATGGAAATGATTATATTTGCCCCCTTTAAAATAGCTGATGATTACAATTATTATTTAAAGTAAATATTAAGCTTTCTCATCATGGGTATGAAAAGTTTCCCGACTGGTAATTTTCTTTTAAAAATTGAAAACCTTTCTGTAACTTACCAAGAAAGACATCATAAATATTTATGAGCATATATTGTACAGACCTGAACATGTTCCATAATTAAAATCTAATATTCAAAATGTTTTGTTTCAATTTTCTTTATATAAGGTTTTAAGTGGCACAATTCCTTATTGAAATGGTAAAATTTTTAAGAAAGACATTTGGGATTATTTCAGAATTAAACTCCACAATTGTAAACACTACAATTACAGCAAACCATAGAGAATACATTCTAAGCAACATCCAAGATGTAAGTATCAAAGTTTAAAATGGTCAGAAAATTATTAAATCGCGTTATAATACATAATAGACAACCCAGAAAAAGACAATTTTTTAAAAAAAAAAGAGGGGGATTTGTGTTTCAATTGACATGAAAAATATCATTGATACCCTTTTTACTGCAGCATACACTGTCAAAAATAGAAGTCTAAACTACTTAATGTTCCTCTATTTTACCCTCGATATCTCGAATCTTTGTATATTGCAACGTGTTTCTCCGTCCCATTGGGTTCGAGAAAGCGGTTTGACTGTATATATGATTTTGATATATCCTGGCCTCAGGATCATATATCAGACACAAACTTACATGTACGTCGAATTTCAACAAATAAATGTTAAATATTAATGTTGATAAATGTTATTATGAGAAAATGATTGAATTAATCCCTTAATTCGCAGGAAACAATGCACTTTTTTGAAGCAATTTTGAAAAATATTTCAATTTTGATCTACTTGATTTTTACAACGTTATTATAAAATAAAGATTTTGACTGATAAGCTTAAGGTCAAGATCTAGTAAATAACTTTAGACTAATTTTTTGGTGCTAGATCCATTATGACGTCATAATCAATTTCAACTTTCTTTTTCCCGTACTTTACGGCTTTAGCAGAATTATGTAGAAAATATGGTATCTTCATGACATTCAATATGAAATCATATGAAAAGTAAACCGGATACCTATATTAAATTTGATATTGATTTAAAGAAGAGGCCATGAACATACTAATTACCGTTTTCTGAGAGACTGTAGGCAATCTGGATACATTTCCTTTGTCGAATATGAAAAAAAAAATCCCATATTCATGACAGGTTTTCTTTATTTTTTATTGAAAATGACCGTTTAAGGTAAAGATCCATACCACGTAAAATAACGTTATGTGACGTTATTCTCGTTTGTGACGTTATTACGTCAAACGCGCCCGACGCTTATTCTATCAAAAATGCCTGACGTCGATTTCACTTACCGTAAAAAAAAAAGGTACATTAATTTCCAAATAAAAGGCATAAATATACGATGTTCAGTTATTTTCCGGGATGCATGATCGAAGGAGAGTTTAAATTTAGATGATTCGTCAAACCGAAAGTACAACAAAGATGACATGGAAGATTCATTGTCTCGAGTACAAGATAACTAAAAGACTTCGACAATCGGGTCGTTTTTTGTCTCTGTAAGTTGAAGAAATACAGAGTAACAAATAAATGGTTCTCTTGTCGAAAGTCATTATCGTTTGCTTACATGTTTGTACATAGGCTTAGAATAACCATTTTCGAACCACGTACTGCTCTGGAAGTATTCAGGTACCTAACTACTTTGCTTCAATATTCCGATTTTTATATGTCGTTTTTCTCTTCTCGATTGTTTGAATTAAAATATCGTCCCCTGGGGATTGACTCAGGATTTTGAAAAAAAAAATATGGAAAACTTTTTTTTGTTTACAATGTATATATCATACATAAAACAGTTACTGCACACATATTAATGCTCTGTTATTTGGTATATCCTTGCACTGAAACATAAAATAATTATTGATAAAAAAAAAACTCAGAATATTTCATTTAAGTAGGAAAGGACATTGATACATTGACAAAAAAATTCCTTAATACACATAATATGTGACATATATGCTGAAAATTTGGAAAAATTTGTTTTAAAGCTAGTGCACAATAATCTTTAGCTATCATTTGTAGTGGTTTGGGTATACAATGTAGTGTATTGCTGCACATGTCATTACACTGACAGGTGTCCTGGGTTCGATTCTCTGGAAGTTGCAAATACAGAGTAACAAATAAATGGTTCTCTTTTGTCGAAAGTCATTATCGTTTGCTTATATACTTGTACATAGTACATAACCATTTTCGAACCTTTTGGGCCTCTTGTTATATGTTTGCTAGAGCCAATTTCCAAATTGATGATAAAATTACATATTTCTCATCTACGGTATATACAATATGTATAATAAATGAGAAAAACATACGTCGAACAGACCAAGGGGTCTATATCGGATGGGGAAGGGGATATTTATGTCTTCAAGCACCTGTGAATAGTATAGCAATAGATATCAGTCACTAATAAGATAATGTGCAATTTTATGCATTACCATGATTACTGTAATGATAGTTAGACTTAAACCCACAAATAAAAATATGACAGTAACAAAGAAGGGGGGAATACATGTATAAGATGATAAATAGGAATGCCTATGAGATCATAGAGGGTGATATAAAAAGGAATAAGGAAAAGGATAAAATTTCAATCCAACATTTCACAAAATCAACTCTGTTAGTTAAGCCGAGTGCTTACAATGTTATAATTATACAATTAGGTTGTTCGTGCATGGTTTAATCATGCATTAATCATTAAAAACAAAGATAACCAGTTTCAGTTTAGATTTTATGGATTTATGTCAAGATTGTAGCTTTTTATTTGAATGAAAAATTATTAATACTGTCTCATAAAAGTTATGACAGTATTTTTTTTTTCAAAAACAAATCAATTTTCCAACATACAGAATTTATTACATAATTACCTTGACCCTTTGATCACAAAATCAATAAGGGTCTCCCTCGAGCCACAGAGAGTTGCTGTGTAAAATTTCAATGCAAAGGCTTCTTGAAAGTGTTACAGACAGACAGAAAGACACACGGACAGATGCACAGACCTAAATTTAGTATCCCCACTTTCAGTGAAAGGGGAGACAATTATGTAATTTTTTTTTGTTGATGTTAAACTTGGTTTATCAAGATACTTGTTTAAAAAAAAAAATTGCATAACTTTCCCAGTGATTATTCAGTTCTTTCTTTTCCTACATAAATAGTTTTTGATATCATATTGAGCTTAATAATATTATACACCTACACATTTATCTATTTTAACATCAATATGCACTAAGCAACACAGTTCCAAAAAGCCAGATAATGTATTGGACCAGCATGCAAAACTTGTATCAAACCATTTTCCCCCAAATGAATGAAGAGTCCTTCCCAAACTTATGAGTTAGGACTTTGTGCTGTGTCATGTAGCATGATAAAAAGCTGGAGAAGAAAAAAATCTTTTTTTTTAATTTCATTATTAGAATACAATTTTAAAGAAGTATAACTGAACTGCCTAAACTCCAGTACAAGTCAAATTGAACCATCTTGGATGTCTTGATTAAATGTTTTTATTTTAGGCACAGAGCAACAGAAAAGAGTTTTTTTTTTTAAACTAGACCAAGTTCATAATGCATGTATTATTCCTCAGGTACTTTTAATATACAAGTATACATACAAATTAAATATTCAATACCTATAATGATGTTCATCAGCTCAGACAATTTCAGGTTCGAGAATCTGTGTCAAAACTCATGGAACAAATGCTCACTGGATCCATATCAAAATATCACTTTAACATAGAACATTCTATTTACCCAGGGAGTTTTTGACTTTTAAAGCATCATACCAATGACTTTTCATACCAATTTTGCATAGATCAATTTTTCCATGGAGGGGTCCTGCCATCCAAGGTCACTTTTAGTAAAATTCACTGTTATCTTAGGACTTTCAGTAAGGCGGGATATTCTTGATGTTATGTATTTAGCCTCTAAAATTTACACAGCTTTCATTCATCGTTGAAATATATGTGGCCGGGATATAAATTCAGGACATATAAGAAAGTAAGATTAGCGGTAAGTTGTCTAATGATTGTCAACAATGATTAAAAGTACCTGATGTTATTAATTTTTTAACCAATGAAAATTTATTTGCCATTTGAAAGACACTAGTCAGTAGTGCCGAGAATACTACGTCTTACTAAAAGTCCAAGGATGGCAGAGAATAATTGTACTGCTAGGTAGAAGTAATTTCTAACAGTTATAAATAAAACCCAAAGAAGTTGAATAAATTTAGTATTTATCAAAAAAATTAAAGAAGAAAAGTAATACTTCTCTTCACTTTTATTTTTTATAGATTAAGCATTAATCGTGTAAGATTAATTCATAACAATTGTATATAAATGTTGTGTACGAGTTGACTTCTAGTTTGTGTACGAGTTGACCTTTTTTTGTGTACGAGTTGACTTTTTGTGTACAACTTGGTTTGTGTACGACTCAGTTTGTGTACGACTTGACTGGACACCACCACTAGATCCGCCATGAAAATTTCAATCAAAAAGCATCCTATAGAAATTATACTATGGAAACGAGAAAAAAAATATAAGTGCTGACAAAAATTATTGTGTAAGGGTCATTTTGACAGCTCGGTCAGAGTACATAAAACAACTATTTTTTTATTGTTTGACTTACTTAACCCTTTTAATTATGAACCTTATTGATTTTAAAAATACATAAATTACTTCACATTTTACCAATTAAATGACATAGCTTAAGTAATGATGCTCTCAATGCAATTCTAGTCATCAAATATGGAGCTTGAATTTATTAAACGAATTTGAGTTATGTACGGAAAACCTCCATCATTCAGTGCTAGAGTGTCCCTAGCTTAAGAAGGGGATCTCTGCCTTCCAAGGATATGATCGCCTGTAAGCACGGTGTTTTAAACAAACAAACATTACAAAGTGGAAACACTGAACATATTCATCTCCGCGTACATTAATTTGATCTATTTTGTATGGTATATGAATAAAAACATGATAAACAACGTTGAACCTTACTTGGACAGGTCCGAGCATTTCCTGAGATCAGAAACCAGACGTTAAAAAGATGTGGCAAACAAACCACTTATTTGTATCTATGAATAGCGAGAAATGTATTACATAGACACAAAAAGTAGTAAAACGTGCCACTTCTCTAAATTTTTAATCAACTAAATCGCATCCAAACTACCCATGTTGAAACTGAAAGTATTTTCTTCTTTCACTTCCGTCACAAAGTCACACATGCGCATAAACGGTTTATAGAATATTCCGAAGATTGAACCCGATTACTATTATGCTTGTGAATCGTGAAAACGAATTTTTGGCCGTCTATGCATTAAATATTCAACTTATGATTTAAACCATACTTATTACTGTTCTATTATCGATAGTTTCAAATATTTAAAGCGATTTTTACACCCAAATCCTAAAAGTATAGATGTTAAAAAGATTTTTCAAATTATCATTTTTCAGCAAATTTGGTTTTAAAATGTGAAATTTTCTTGTTTGATGCCCGCTGCCCCACTTAATTTTTATGCTATATAAGGGAGAGAACATTGGAAAATAACGTGTTAATTTTAAAAAGAAATCTGTAGTCAGAATATCAAGCAGCAATTTATTTTTACTAGTAATGAACTTTATAACTTTGAGCTAAATATGTTTAATTCGCCCTAGAAAGTAATATTAGGTGGATCAGCAGATTAAAAAAATAATTAAACATTTAAACAAGCATTTTTTCTCTATGATTCATATGTTAAAAAAATTCTTTTGCTTTTAATTTTAGAAAGCTAGAATAAATATCTTAATTTCCACATTTCCGTCATTTCACGAGACAATGTCTATTTTTAGTAACAATCCTTTCAAAAGGAGGCCCGGTTGACCCCAAAATTTACACTGATCTGGAAAGGACAAATACTCAGTTAAGATTCTGAAAAGTTTCAACAAAATCTGTAGTTCCGTTATTTCTATAGGATGGTATGGATCTTTACCTTAAAATACAGTTTTTCATCTTGTTTACCTACAAATTATGCCCCGAAACGCCTTATTTGACCAAGCTAAAGTTGTAAAGCATCAATAAAGGAATTTATTTCTCAAATTTGATAAATCTGTAGGCACCTTTCATTTACTAGATCTTGACCTTAAGATGATTCTTGATCAAAGGGGCTTGGTTGTGCAAATAATACACAATGTTTTAAAGAAATTATATTTAATTTTTTGCCGATTTTCAGTTACAAGGAAGCCTCGTTGCCGCTGGAACTTGTCAATTTTTGATTGGAGCAACAGGTTTGGTCAGCTTCCTTCTGAAATTCATAGGACCAATTACTATCGTTCCTACTCTATTTTTAAGCTGCGTCTTTATCGTCAGAGCATGCGTCAAATTTGCGTCAGTACACTGGGGCGTTGCACTGTTGTAAGTTATCAAGTAATTGACAGTATAGTACTATGCATTTTATCGAAAAACGAAACTTACTTTTTTTTTTTACAAATACAAGTTTTTTTTCTGTATAAATGACACTTTTCTCTTTGACTTAGGGTAACTGCTGTTTCCCTGATTTTATCCTTGTATCTCAGCCATCGCAAAACACCAATACCAATGTGGACGAGAAAGAAGGGGTTTCACATTCTCTGGTTTCCACTACATCAAGTTTATTCAGTAAGATCTTTTATCATTTATCTATTCCTCTAAAAATATTAAATCTAAAATAAACTTTATTTGTGATGCACCTGCATATACTGTACCTTCTTATGTAACAAAACTATACAAAAAGTTTCCCCACAGATTCTGATTGGAATTTTGGTTGGTTGGTTTGTTTGTGGCGTTATGACAGCGGTAGGAGCTTTTGACCCAGATGATAAGTTGGCCAGAACGGATACTGGATTGGAGGCTGTCAGAAAATCTGCGTGGTTCCGCGTTCCCTATCCGGGTAAACACCCGATATTTTCTTACAGTAATAAGGGACCTATACACTAACTTTCACATATACATGTAGGTTCCTGCATTAACGTATGAGATTTCATTTGTCATAAAATGTAGATAAACGATTCAAGATTCATATTTGCTTATAACATCATACTCTTCACTAAAAAGACGTCGCCTTTTCTCCTGCTTTTCGTCTGAAAATTTCTTAACAATCCAGTCGCCCTCATTTTTGCTAGTGCTCTCGAGCGCTAGCAACTACGTTAGTCCAAATTCCTTGAATACGCATGCTCGGCCACCATGGTGGTGCATTCTGGGAAAATTGTGAAAACTACTACAGATAGACCGTACGATAACAATTTCGTTGTATCATGTTGTAGCATGAAATAACTGTTCATTTATTGTGTAGCTTACACTTTAAAGATAACTTCATATAATTTATAATATTTTAAATTCTGGGGTTTCTGACGGAAAAGCCCGAGTCACTATCTTATTGTTCTAAAGAATGACAAGGGAGTTTTATTTTTTAATCTAAGCACAACCAAAGATAGATTCTAATTTCTGATTGGTCAATTCAGCCAATCTTACAAATTCCAGAAACAGAAGTAAGAATTTACACTAAAAATAACGAATAGTTCCACTATTTGTGTTTAAAAAATGTGTATGGCTTTTAACCTAACATATCTTGACAAAGATGACCCAAAGGACCAAGCTACTTCAAATGCGTTCCAAATTCTCTGGAGTCTTTACACAACATACACTTTGAGTTATTTTCTATATTCCATTCAACTCCCATGTATTTTCTTTGCTAAATTGCCAAGAAATTTTCTTCTTTAAATCAGCTCATATATACATGTAGTGTCTCAATCGGCATCTTCTTCACATTATATAGAGCCCCACCCCCTCTCTCCAGTAAAGGTCACATATGTTCCGTTGCACCAAAACTCCAATAGGTCACCCCCCCCCCACCTCACACCCCTTGTTTCTTTACCTATGTGTCTATAAAATACGCTTCACAAAACAATAATAACTTTATCACTCTCCAGCCACGGATCTTCCTTTCTGTGTTCAAAAATTGCTACGGCGCTAGCTCACCTATTTTTTTAAAAGATAAACTTGTACCATTCTACGGTAATATAGATTTGTAATTCTATATACCCGTACCGGTGATATGGAAATGTGATATAATCAAGCTCGCCATTATACAGTTCAAACTTTTTTAATCAGTACCTGTGCAACCTATTTTACTCTGAAATCAGACCTTTTCTTTTCACAATGTGTAATCTGATTACTAGTACTAGTTTCTTCCTACTCAAAGTACTTTTCCCTGATGAACATGTACATGTATGTTCAACCATATCACTTTCTTAGGAGGAGTTTCAATGCGTATCTCATAACATTTGAGAAGTAAAAAGTTGATCCTTATGTCGCGCGTTCGAATTCCTCTATGAGACATTCAGATGAGACCGTATAAACGGAGGTCCCGTGTCGCAGTAGGTGCTGGCACGAAAAAAGATCCCTCCCTGCTCAATATCCTGAGTGCCGGGTATAGGACAAAATTTGCAGCACGTTAATATACAATCAATTAATCAATAGACTTGAAGTTGTTGAGGGTTACATGTATCACCTTAATATAAAGTGGGTGACTATGTACCATATATGTTTGATTTACCGAGGTCTTCACCAACTAGATGGAACGATATATTGTTAATGATATTGTCCTACGGACCAGCCCCGTGGGAATCCGGGTTAGAATAGGTCCTCAGTACCCCCTTGCTTGTCGTAAAAGGCGACTAAATGGGGCGGTTCTTCGAATGAGACCGTATAAACCGAGGCCCCGTGTCACAGCAGGTGTGGCACGATAAAGATCCCTCCCTGCTCAAAGGCCGTAAGTGTCGAGCATAGGCCTAAATTTGCAGCCCTTCACCGGCAATGGTGACGTCTCCATATCAGTGAAATATTCTGGAGAGGGACGTTAAACAGTATACAATCAATCAATCAATCCTACGGACTTGGTTTAATGATAGAATTTGTTCCATGTACTTGTAATGTAGCAAAAGAAACAGGCGATAACTCGTACTCATTGCATTGCATTTACTGCAAACAAGCCAGAGACTTCCGACTGTAAAAAAGGTAAGTGAACTTTGAAAGAGAGAAATTTTGTTGAGAAAATAAATTGAATGTTTGTCTTCATGGAGAATATTTTTGGGAATAAAAGGCTGATACATCCTCAAATGGGTTTGTTTTGGGTAATTTGGTAGTTATTTTCAGGCCTTTTTGTATTCTTCAAATCATTTCGGAGTGGATCCACTCCGATTTGCTACATTGCAAGTATATGGGACTTGTTCTAACTGTGGTGAGGGCTTGTCCCGAGTCATAGTTAATTATTCTAATAATCCACCAACCAGTTTCCTTCCATTCGTTTTTTCTCTACCATTGTTTTAAAAACATGTTATTGTTATTCATCTCTTCTTTTCATGTAGGACAGTTTGGTCCTCTGTCATTCAGCACAAGTGTTTTTGCGGGATTTATGATAGGGACCATTGTATCAATCCTCGATTCCATTGGTGATTATTACGCATGCGCAAAAATGTCCAATGTGCCACCGCCCCCTACTCACAGTGTAAACCGTGGAATCCTTATTGAAGGGCTGTGTAGTATTATAGCGGGGTTCTT